GAAAATGTCTTGAGATGAAGTTAAGGTCTGGGGCAACTATAACCATACCCCTGTGTTGCTTATGCCCTCCTTGACTGCATTCAGTGAATTGCACTCCTCAGTTCTTAAAGTAATAATCACACTGGTGTTTTAAAGAACATTTAGGTCAGTTCTATGATTGGCTAGAGGATCCCTCCATTAGTCATAGAAAAATGTCACAGCTTCCAGGATGTTAACCTGCATAACTGTAATATTTAGAGGAATATACCGCTTGTTTTAATATTCCCTTTCTAGGTCTCCATTTTCTCAATGAGGGGGTTAGAATAAAAGACTTCTAAGATTAATTTATCTTTACACTGTATATAGTTATCTTATTTCCCCCCTCAAATTTAATATAACAAATCATCCTTTTTTATTTTCCACCCTAACTCAAGGGCATTACTCACCAACTTTGTTAAGAAATGTATTAATCCACTGAAACCGGTTTGGCTCAGTGGATAGAGCATCAGTCTGCGTATTGAAAGGTCCCAGGTTCGATTCCGGTCAAGGGCATGTACCTTGGTTGCAGGCACATCCCCAGTAGGGGGTGTGCAGGAGGCAGCTGATTGGTGATTTTCTCTCATCGATGTTTCTAACTCTCTATCCCTCTCCCTTCCTCTCTGTAAAAAATCAATAAAATATATTTTTTAAAAAAAGAAATGTATTAATCCATTTATGGCTTCATTAAACTCTTCAGATACCCCTCCCCCTCTTTTTAAAAAATATTTTATTGACTTTTTACTGAGAGGAAGGGAGACAATAGTTAGAAACATCGATGAGAGAGAAACATCAATCAGCTGCCTTCTGCACACCTCCCCCTGGGATGTCCCCTCAACCAAAGTACATGCCCTTGACCTGAATAGAACCTGGGACCTTTCAGTATGCAGGCTGACGCTCTATCTACTGAGTCAAACCAACCAGGCCTCCCCTCTTTTTTATTTCCTTATGGGAAATGTATACAGATTTAGAAGTCTGAATATCATTATCATAGAAAAGTGTTTAAGTAACTCTTTATGTATACTATTATCTAAGAGAATTGGGGGGAGGGGGTTAAAGTTTAAAACAAGCTTCATGGATACATATAAACATGTAGAAGACATAGAAAAATAAAATAAAAACATTAGGACATAAGTAAATGGAAGTGTTTCCTGGATATATAGGTTTAGTAAGTGTACTTTACTTGTGAAAGGAGTACAAGAGCACTTCTGAAATGTTGATTTATTAGTATTATTGGAGTAGGACGGTGTGTTAATAATAAGTCTTTGGTTAAGTATACTGTATACATCTTAGATAAGTCTCCAGGGTAAAATTATCCCCATAAGGAGTCAAGCTTCAAGAAAGCCTGAATAGCCCTAGCTGGTTTGGCTCAGTGGATAGAACATCGGCCTGCAGACTGAAGGGTCCTGGGTTTGATTCAGGTCAAGAGCATATACCTTGGTTATGGGCACATCCCCAATTGGGGGTGTACATAAGTCAGCTGATAGATGTTTCTCTCTCATCAATGTTTCTAGCTCTCTCCCTTTCTATAAAAAAAAATCAATAAAACATTTTTTTAAAAAGCAAGAATGTATAGCTTACCACCATAGCAAACTATTTTTGTTTTGTCCTCAGATTCTCCAATTTAAAGAAAAATTTAGCTACCTGGAATTAGAAATAGGCAGTATTTGTATAAGCATTCTTTCAGCACTGACTTTAAGATACTAGCTACTATGAGGGATTCCAAGATGGATAAGAAAATACATCTGGCCCAGCCAGTGTGGCTCAGTGGTTGAGCGTAGACTATGAACCACGAGGTCACGGTTCAATTCCCAGTCAGGGTATATGCCTGGGTTGCCGGCTCAATCCCCAATGGGGGGCGTGTAGCCAATCAATGATTCTCTCTCATCATTGATGTTTTTCTCTCTCTCCCTTTCTCTCCAAAACCAATAAGAATATAAAAAAGAAATAGTATTTAAAAAAATAAATGCATTTGCCTTCATGAATCTATCTAATAAAGGAAATAGAATATATATGAGCCATTAAAATGCTACAGAGACTATAAAGGGTTGAAACAAAATGGAACAATCACATTAAATTAAATATTTAGAAAATATTTCATGGATGGGTAAAATTATGAAGCAAGATGGGATTTAGAGGGACTTTTTAGGAGGCTGGTGGATATTCCAAAATGAGAGCACAATGCCCTACTCTATTCTATTTAAATGTCTTAGTTGAGGTACTATATGGAAGATAATTGATCTGGAAGCTGGTTTTGACATTAATTATTAATTCCCTATTATAATATGAGGGTGTGTATTTCTCTCAAATCCTCAAAGGAATACTTACAAAGTGTTTTGAGATCTATGAATTCAGAGAACTTATTCTCCATTCTCGCTATTTATCTTCTAACTTCCTTTAGAGCAAATTCAAAATTTGGCTAAAAACTTTTTGTTTCTTCATTGTTAATAAGCCTATATTGAACATAGAAAACAGTCATTTCAGAAATTATTGGCCAAGAGATGAAACCCTTTTTGTCACAAGAAAACCATCTGCTCCAAGAATAAAATCTGGATTTTAAATTTGAATGTCATCTTGTATTCATTGCTTCTGTACTACATGTGAAAAATAATAAGTCAAAATTATTATTTTGTAATAAAAGCAATATGGTTCATGTGTAAAATTAATCACTTTTGTGTTTTTCATTGTAGATTCCTTATATTAAATGGCAGGAGGGGTGGGTAAACTTAGGTATAGTGAAGACAACAACACATTAATCAAGAACTTTCTTCATATCTCAGAACCCATCCTCAATAACAGTAAGTGGTCACATATTTTCCTTATTTTTTGTATTTAAATTGTATTATTTTTAATTGTGGTATATAGCTTACATAAATCTGTAACCTTGTTGTTTTTGTTGTTTCCTATGAGAAGTAACTCCCTAAACTGAAATAATAAACTGGAAGCTAAGAGACTTGCATTTTAATAGTCCAGGACAGCCCATTTCCAAGTCTTCTCATTCATTGGCCAAGTAGTAGTATCATCCATTTCTTTCTTCATGGTAATGATTCAAACATAAGAATATTTATATCTAATATGAGCTGCTAAGAGACAATAAGGGGTTTATTTCATAGGCATTAACAACTTCCTTATTGGGATTATAAATAATATTAAAATAAGATAACAAAGAAGGTTAGACAATCTTAGAGAAAATTTCTAAAGAAAAGAATAAATAATTATCTTTCTGGAGCTAGCCTGTCTGTCTTAGAGAGGAGCTCTCCAAATAAGCCCAAGCCCAGGAACTCCTAATTCTAGATGCATGTTAAAATCACCCATGGAGCTCTTAAGAAATTCAATGCCTAAGTTTCATCACCCTAAACCCACTGAAATAAGATTCTTGGGGGAAGAAGGGTGATGGTACCTCAGATTCAGTATTTTTTTAAAACAATTTTCTGGGTGATTCTAATAAGAGTGGAGAACTCATTGCTTACCCAAAGCATCTTATTACAGTGTCAAGAAGAATAAAAGAAACAGTTTCCCTAGCTCAATGAGTCAGTGATTGAGGTGTTAAAATGGATACAAATCATGTGGGAGCAAAGAACAAATGAAATTGCACCATGAAAAATTGGATAAGCTTTTGAACTTTATTATAATAGAGTTTTAAAGCAGTATATTTTTTTAGAATCAAAATATCAATATACTATATATGTATGTTTCATACAAATGTTTGAGGACATTTTTGGTGGGAAAATTGGCTGTCTTTTTCTATGTTGCTTATAGACAAATATAGATCTAAGCAAAGTTTCTAATGGAAAAAGGGAAATTTCATTGTAGAAGCCTGGCAGTGGAAGTTTGGCATGGAAAAGGGGGGAAAGAAAAGCTTCTAATGCATGTAGATTATCAGGGGGCAAAAGATCATTATAATTAGCCATATTCCCAAGGACTAGCAAGTAAAATGTTGTGGAAAATGGATGAGAATAAGGCCAAAGGAGTATTTGGAATAGGGGCTATGAAGCTCATTTATGAGGTAAGGTGATAAAAACAGCAAGGATTAGCAATTCTTTCAAGAAAAATGGCGACAAACAGAAATAGTAATAGCTAGAAGGGGAGACTTGGGGTGGAAGAAGACAACTAGAGGAAGAGGGTTATGAAAGATCAGCATCTGCAGGGTATTACTCCTCCTCCATAGACAAAGGCCCATTGGGTGCATATATCTGTCTTCTGGCATTTAGCAGTTTGGCTGAACCAGGGAGTTAGAATTCCTCCAGGATCCTTAGCTAATTGGAGGAGGAAAAACCACTAGACTTACTACTAATAAAAGTAAGCTGGTGGTCTGGAAATTAATTAAAAATGAACTGTGAGCCCAGCCAGTATGGCTCAGTGGTTGAGCATCAATGTATGAACTAGGAGGTCACAGTTCGATTCCTGCTTGAGGCACATGCCTGGGTTTCAGGCTCAATCCCTAGTATGTATAGGGTGTGCAGGAGACAGCTAATCAATGATTCTCTGTCATCATTGATGTTTCCATCTCTCTCTCTCTTCTTCTCTAAAATTAATAAAATATATATATATTTTTAAATGAACTGTGTATTACTTTTTTTCTAGAGTTGATGGGGCAAAAACAGGTAGGGAGGAGTAAATAAATTTTATTTTATCATGTTGAATTTTGAGTGTTTACTGAAAATCCAAGATATGGAAGAGCTGTCAAGCAAGGACACAAAAAGAAGGACATGACTGTTTAGGTTCTTTGATGAACACATTTGTATTAAGCACCTCTAGTAGAGACCAGGCACTGGCATTAGCACAGATACACGTGTTTGAAAAATCTTCCTGCATTTGAGAGCTGAAGTTATCCAGAGGTAGGTGAATTTGAAGTAGCTCTTGGCACAGGTTACTATTGAAAGCATTGCTCCTGTTTTCCACACCTCAATTATTTACCTTATTTCTCCCTACTTTCATATAACTTAACTTTCTGATACTCTTTTTTTTTTTCTTTCTATTTTCAGATGTCAGAGAGGGTTGACTGGTTACAAAGCCAAAATGGGGTGTGCAAAGTTGATGTCTTTCAACCTGGGGATAGCCAATCCCAGGACTGGAAAATTGTAAGTGGTCAACCTCCTTACAAACACATACTGGGTTCAGGGTATGTGGAGTGCCATTAAGAGTAGCCCTATTGTCTCCACCACAACCACCACCCACTTCTCAGTTTTGAAGACTGATTTCTTGAGAAAAAAATGAACTTCTTTAGAACAAAACATTCCCATCTATAATTTTTGGAAAACGTTCCTATAATACGATATTTAGTAGGAGAAATATTACAGCTGTAAAATTTTGTTCATAGAAAGTATTTTCTGAAATGTAGGCTGCCTCAAAATTGTCAGAACTATAAACTTTCACCTAAGTAATATTGTCATTCTGCCTTCATCATTCAACCAACATTTATTAAATAATTACTTAATATCAAGCACTGTAAGTCAGAGTCGAGTCAGAAGAGGGAACCACACTAGTAATTTCATGTTAAAATACTGTTTATTAGAGGTAGTTAATCAAGTTAACTACTAAAGCTGTAAAGGGGAGACTCAATGCAAATAAGCAGCTACTCTTAGGCTGAGAGAATTAACAATGAAGAAATTGAAGAATTCACAAAAATTCCTCTTTCTTAATCAAGGCTACTTAAGATCGCTTTGGAGAAAGTGTGGTTGTCATGGGATCACACAGCCTGCCTAAGAGATAAAACAGTTTACATATCTATAAAAGACATTAAGACATCCTAAATAATAAAGAGATAATGTGCAAATTAACCCTCGCACCCTCACAAGATGGCTGCCTACAACAGGCTGCATGGGGAGACCAGACCAGCGGGGGTGGTGCACAACCAGGCTGGCAGAGGGGGTCAGTTAGAGGTGACCAGGCATAGAGGCAGGTGAGCAATTAGGAGCCAGTGGTCCAGGATTGTGAGAGGTATGTCTGACTGCCGGTTGGGCCTAACCCGGGGTCTCAGATTGGAGAGAGTACAGGCTGGGCTGAGGAGGGAACCCCCCCCATGCACAAATTTTGTGCATTGGGCCTCTAGTATAGATAATAAATATCCAATTACTATAGAGTAAGTGCCAACCAAATCTGTTTCTACCAGATCTTTTATTTATCTTTGTCCTTTCATTTAGAAAAGCAAAAGGCAGATGAGTTTCAATATTAAACAAATGAACATAAATTTTTTCATTGAGAAACATTCTGGGAAATGCAAATGAAGAACAAAACAATTTCAGTTTACATAGACATAATTAATTTGGGAAAATAAAAAATAAATGTAAAAATATAAATATAATTTAAAAGCTCTAAATAACTGGCAGATACTAATTATAAGAAATCTATGATAATTTTCCAAATGGACTTTCTGGACAGTAATTGCTATAGCTATTTAAAAAACAGGTAATGTCAAAGTAGGAGGAACTGGAGAGCATTATACTAAGTGAAATAAGCCAGTCAGAGAAAGATAAATATCACTTGATTTCACTCACTTATGAAATATAATGAACAACATAAACTGATGAACAAAAACAGATCCAGAGACAGAAAAGCATCAATCAGACTGTCAAACCTCAGAGGAAAGGTAGGAGAAGGTGGGGGTGAGGGGGAGAGATCAACCAAAGGACTTGTATGAATGCACATAAGCCTAATCAATGGACACAGACATCCGGGGGGTGAGGGTATGAGTGGAGAGTAGGAGGTGAGGGGGCAACGGGGCAAAAAGGACATATATGCAATACCTTAATCAATAAAGAAAAAAACATATGCTTAACTGAGCTAGAGTTGAAGGAGAATAGAATGGTAAGTTTATAGATATTGACTTAAAACTAAGCTCCTGCCCTGGCCTAGTGGCTCAGTTGATGGGAGCATTGTTCTATACACTAAAAAGTCGTGGGTTTGATTCCCAGTCAGGGCATAAACCTAGACTATGGGTTCGATCCTGGTTGAGGTGCATATGGGAGGCAACTGAATGTTGTTTCTGTCTCTTTCTCTCCCCTTTCCTTCCTAAAATGAATAAAAACATGCCCTCAGGTGATGATTGAAAAACATAAAACTAAGCTCTTAAAGCAAAAGATGGCTGAGGAGAGAAAATTAAACTCCTTAACCCTTTTCATATTCTTTGTGAAGACATGAAAATTTCCCCTAGCTTTAAAAAGACTCAGAAATAATTTGATATCGACTTTCCCTGAGAGTTCATTTATGATTGCATAAAAATGAAAAGAATTAAAGGTTGCAAGAAGTCTAAGGGGTTTGAAAGAAATGGGTATTTAGTTGTACACTGCATTGATAGAAAAAGAAATGTGATTGGCCTTTTAATCAGTCACTGTGACTTAAGAATTTTTGCAAAATTCTTCTGTGTCAAATGGAATAATGAACATAGGGTACACACATTTTATTTTATTTATTTTTTTAAATATATATTTTATTGATTTTTGTACAGAGAGGAAGGGAGAGAGATAGAGAGCCAGAAACATCTATGAGAGAGAGTCATCGATCAGCTGCCTCTTGCACAACCCCCACTGGGGATATGCCCGCAACCAAGGTACATGCCCTTACCAGAATCGAACCCGGGTCCCTCCAGTCCCCAAGCTGACGTTCTATCCATTGAGCCAAACCGGTTTCGGTGGGTACACACATTTTAGGTTTATAATACATCTACGCTAATAAAAGAGAAACATGCAAATTGACTATCCCTCCGCTACGCCCATCAGCCAACAGGAGTGAATATGCAAATTAACTCAACAAAGATGGCTTCGGCCATGGAGCTGGAGTGAACAGGAGGCTTGGGTTGCCCCCAGCAACGGAGGAAGCCAAGCTTCCCGCCCAAACTGGCTGCCACTGAAGGAATGGCTGAGGGCCGGGTCGCCAGGGGCAACCCAGGCTTCCAGCCCACCCTGGCCTCTGCTTAAGGAGTGACTGGGGGACTGGATCATCAGGGGTGTGGCCAGCCTGAAAACTGTCCTTAGCCCCTCAACCGGGCTGGCCATGCCCCCAAGGGGTGAGGGTCTCCCTGGGGAGCCTGGCCAGCCTGAAAACAGCCCTCAGGCCTTTATCCAGACTGGCCACATCCCCGCAGTGGGAACCCTCACCTCATGGGGGTATGGCCAGCCTGCAAACCACCACAGGCCCCTTGCCTTAATACCAGTCCAGTGTTTTAAGTTACATAAAAATGTTGGAAATGCCCTGGCTGGTTTTGCTCAGTGGATAGAGCATGGGCCTACAAACTGAAGGGTCCGAGGTTCGATTCCAGTCAAAAGCACATGCCCGAGTAGCAGGGTCAATTCCTAGTAGGTGTACAGGAGGCAGCCAATCAATGGTTCTCATATAACACATCCCTAGCCATACTGTCTGTCAGAATTTCTCTTTCCACCCAGAGTTCTACTTTACCATACATGCAAGAAGTCAGGTTCCATTCCCTAGTGCTTATATAGCTGGTTAACTATGTCTCACTGCATTGCCCTTAAGATCAAGCTTATTGGCTTCTCTCTTCTCTTAACTCTTTAGAAGTTTAATTTTTATTTGAAATGTTTAAGTGGTATTAGCTAGCTTATAGACAGCACATTAAGTGTACAAGTTATTTTGTGCATATTATCTTATTTAACCTCATTTAATTCTAATCACAATCATGAAAAAAAATTTAAAATAACAATTACCATGTAAATAGCAATTCCACTTCTGAATATATATCTAAAGGAAACAAAATCATCTAGAAGAGATACCTGCATCCCTATGTTTTTGCAGCATTATTTACAGTAGACAAAATTTGGAAGCAGCATCAGTGGATAAAGAAAATGTGATAAAATGGGATATTATTTAGCAATAAAAAAGAAGAAAATTTTGCCATTTGCAACAGTATCGATGAACTTTGAGGGCATTATGCTAAGTGAACTAACTCAGAGAGGGAAAGCAAAATACCATAGGATCTTATATGTAGAATCTAAAGAAAAAAGAAAGAACTCACAGATACAAAACCAATTCATGGTTGCCAGGGTTGGGGGTGCGGGGACAAAATGGGTGAAGGTGGTTAAAAGATACAAATTTCCAATTATAAAATAAGTAAGTCCTGGGATAGAATGTACAGCATGGTGATGGTAATTAATAATATTGCATTGTATATTTGAAACTCACTAATAGAGTAGATCTTAAAATTTCTCATCATAAGAAAAAATAATTTGAACTATGTGGGGTGATAGATATTAACTAGATTTATTAGTGATCATTTTAAAATATATATAAACATTGAATCATTATGTTGTACACCTGAAACTATTATAGTTTATGTGTCAATTATATCTCAATTAAAAATAATAAACTTGAAGACATATGTCAAAAGTAAAAACAGAAACACAAAACTCATCCATCCAGAAATCAAAGGGCTCCTTTTTTTCCAAATGGCACAAAATTATTAATAGATTTTAATTTAAGACAGGCAATAAATGCTAGCAAACAAATTTTCTGTTGTGTATTACCTAACAGAGAATAGAGGTCTATAAACCATAATTCATCAAAGAATCACCAAGTGGTGAGACAATAAAACCAATTTCTTAATCATTACTGCTACTATTTAATGAAAGTGAAAATCAAAAGCAAAATTAGTTGAAAAGAAAGTTAAAACTAGAAAAACAGAATACCCACATAGTTCCATTACCACTTGTCATTTATCTCTGAGGGCCAAGAAGCACCTGGTACACTACTCTCATGATAACATTTATGTCTGTTAGGTGAGCGTGTCAGACATCTTGGCAAATATTTCCAAAACTGTTAAAATGTCATTTTCAGAGAAAGGTGAAATAATGACTCTCAGAAATATATAAAAATCAAACTCATGTTAAATATTTTTTAACTTATTAACCAAGAACTGGTGTGGTTTCCAAGGACAATCTAAGAGAGAAAAAAAGACATATTTATAGATTAGGAATATTGAAGTGAATGTGCAAATAGAAGCACCTTTTCTACAATGTATCCTTCCATGGCCAAAATTATTGTGTGTATAAACAACAATTATATCTCATTGCTACCAGTTGTCTACACTTTACAGAATTATAAAATATTTCTAAGAGAATTAGAATCAGAAAATGTGGAATGATATGCTATAAATTATGCAGTTTTCCACTGAAGCATATTCCTACAGTGCCCATTGTTAACATCAGGATAATCAATTAGGAAGACTGAACCAAGCACTGTGGCCAACAGGCAGCTCAAACCAGTCCTGCAGAGGACTGGTACAACTGCTTTCCTCTTCTTCCCAAGTCATCAAAATACAGCTGTGGGTAGAGAGCACCAGTTTTAGAGTAGGATCTGGATTTGAATACTAACCCTCATCATGCAGTAGCTGTGAGATGCGAGTGAATTTATTTGACTTTCCTATACCTCAGTTTTCTTACCTGTGAAATTGGATGAGTAATATCTACTTTACAGGATGTGTATGAGGATAAAGTTAAATAATGTATTTGCACATTACCTGGCGAACATAGTATTTAACAAATAGTAGCTAGAAACTATATGACACTTAATAATTGAAGTACCAAATTAATCTTTAAAGATGGGCACTACTTGGTTATTCCAGAAGCTATAACTCCAATAATTACAATGATTCTTTACATTGGATAGTGAATAGGGCAATTTTACATACATTCTTATTTTAGCTTGTGTTCAAGTGAAGATTATAAATTATAAAATATAAACATATATGTATATGTGCTTATCACAACTAGTGTCCACCAAAGAATCTGTATTCCCTTAAAACTAATAAATTGTCCACAGATATTAACTCCTCAATTATAAATCAGATTTTTAACTTAAAGTGATATTAAATAGTGCTTTTGAACCCATTTAGCATATACAGATTATGTTGTGAGGCTGGCAAAGTGATTATGCACAATTATCCTTGGATTTTATAATTTTTTGAAAACTATATTTTGTAATAAGAGACCTAAATAAAAACAGATTAACCATAGGAAATAGCAATTAATATTAATATAAGAAAAATCTTATTTAGTTGAAATGCTAATTCAGCTGTGAATATGATAACTATCATATCTTAAGGATACATGTTGTTAGATGCAATATAGTGTAATGGCTGAGAGCGTGTGCTCTGGAGTCAGACTGCCAGGGTGGGAATTCTTGTTCCATCAATGATTAGCTATATAACCTCAGGTAAGTAGCTAAATCTCTCAGTTCTTCAATTTTCTTCTCTGTAAATTATTCTATATAATAAAAGTATAATATGCTAATTAGACTGGACATCCTTCCAGATGAAATCTGGACGAAACTGGGGCTATGAGTGAAGCTGGAGTCCAAGGTGCCAGAGGGAAGCTGGTGCTGGCAGCCAGGGGAAGGAAGGTCTACTCTTGCACGAATTTCATGCACCAGACCTCTAGTGAATAATAAGAGAGCTAACATTTAAGTTTACTATGAGAGTAATATTAAATGAGATAATAGTCAAAATAGTTGAAACAGTGCCTGATAAATAGTAAGCACTTAATAAATATTGGTTACTTTTATTGTGATCACAGAGGAGTTCAGGCTTGAGCCTTTTTGTAACTGATCTTTGAGTTGTCCTGAATACTCCCTATGTTTACTTTGTTGTAGTCGGATGAATACTTGTCTGTTTTTAAGGAAGTCTCAAATGATCCTGTCAGAGTGCTCAGCTGGCTCCGCAAAGACCTGGAAAAAACTACAGCAGGGTTCCAAAGTGTTAGGTTCAAGCCTGGAGAATCATTATCTGATGGGGAAATGATCAACTCAGGAGATGCACAGAAGGGTTTCACTGTGGACTACTATAATACCACCAACAAGGACAATCCAGGGAGATTTCATTTTGAGATGACTCACAAAGAAAACCCTCTCCCAGGTTCCGGTATCCAAGATGATAATGCAAATACAGTGGATGAAGTTTCCTTCTATGCTAACCGCCTCACAAATTTAGTCATAGCCATGGCCCGCAAGGAGATCAATGAAAAGATCGATGGCTCTGAGAACAAATGTGTCCATCAGTCAGTGTACATGGGGGATGAACCACCCCCTGCCAAAAGCCTGAGTAAGGTGGCATCAGAGCTGGTGAATGAGACTGTCTCTGAATGTTCCAAGAATACTGCCTCAGATAAGGTTCCTGGCTCTGGTGACAGAGTCTTAGGATCATTGCCGAGTCACGGAAATATGAGATACAAGACCACTTTTAAGATCAATGAATGCAAGGGTCCAGATGGCAAGCCTAGTTCTAAGAAGTCTTTCTTCTATAAAGAAGTGTTTGAATCTCATAATGCAGGTGATTCCAAAGAAGGTGCAAGGTCCTTACCTGGGGAGAGAAAGATGTACAGAGGGCAAGAAAGGCCTGATGATTTTACAACTTCTGTTAGTCAGAAGATCATGACCTATGCTAACAGTGTGGTGTCTGATATGATGGTCTCCATAATGAAGACTCTGAAAATCCAAGTGAAGGACACAACCATTGCCACCATCCTGCTGAAGAAGGTACTACTTGGGCATGCAAAAGAGGTGGTCTCAGATCTCATTGACTCCCTCATGAAGAATCTCCACAATGTCACAGGGACCCTCATGACTGATACAGACTTTGTCTCAGCTGTGAAAAGAAGTCTCTTCTTTCATGGAAGTCAGAAGGCCTCAGATATTATGGATGCTATGCTGTGGAAGCTATACAGTGTGATGTTTGCCAAGAAACCTCCTGAGAATATGAAGAAAACCAAGTCTGAGAGTTATTCCCTTGTCTCCATGAAAGGAATGGGTGGTCCTAGAAACCAAAAGGTAAATTTTGCAACAATGAAATCTGAAGGTAAATTGAGAGAAAGAACAGTCTCTCCTCCATGCAAACCAGAGAAGACTTGTGTTGAAACTTTGGGTGAACACATTATCAAAGAAGGCCTGAGTTTATGGCATAAAACTCAGAATAAAGAAGGGAAAGCTCCAGATTTTCAGAGTGCAACAATTCCCAACAGCCAGTATGACCCTCCCCCAGACTTTCCGCTGGAATGTCCTCTGGATCCTTGCAATTTCATCCTGCCTATGCAACACCTAGAGAACCCTGAGAATTTGTGTGATTCAGACTCCTGGGCCAAGGACCTGCTTGTATCTGCATTACTTCTGATTCAATACCACCTGGCCCAGGGAGGAAGCATGGATGCACAGAGCTTCCTTGAAGCTGCTGGTAGAACCAACTTTCCTACCAACAAGGCCCCTGTAGTTTGTGCTGAGACCAACCTTAAGTCTTCACATATGGAAGGTAACCAAGAAGAAACAGAGAAGAAGGATCTAATGAGTGTTTTCTTCAATTTTATCAGGAATTTACTTGGTGAGACCATTTTCAAGAATGACGATAGCTCTGAACCCAACATGCCAGAACCAATTAAGGAAGATCTGTGTGAAAGACCTGTACCCCCTTGTCCCATTAAAGTGAGTGAAGGTGATGAGGCTGGTGGTACTCTTGCTGGGCTGGCCAAGATGGTCACCAGCCACATGAATGGGCAGATGATAGAACATCTGATGGACTCAGTGATGAAGTTGTGTCTCATTATTGCCAAGTCCTGCGACTCTCCCTTGGCCGAGCTGGGAGATGATAAATCTGGGGATGCCAGCAGACCAACTTCAGCCTTCCCAGATAGTTTCTATGAGTGCTTACCAGTCAAGGGCACAGGGACAGCAGAGGCTGTCCTGCAGAATGCCTATCAAGCTATCCATAATGAATTGAGAGGTGTATCAGGACAGATCCCTGAAGGATGTGCATCAACCAAAGTGGTTGTCAGTAATCAGAACCTAATTGATACAGTTCAGAACAAGCAACTCCAAGCCGTACTTCAATGGGTAGCTGCCTCTGAGCTCAATGTCCCTATTTTGTACTTTGCTGGTGATGACGAAGGAATCCAAGAGAAGGTAAGGAAGAAGAGTCAAAGGAATTTGGAAATATTTATTAATGGTTTGTTGGGAGTTTAAGTTATGTTTTCTTTTTAAATGGGAAGATAGCCATGAGAATAACAGGGACAGTAAGAAGATCATGCCTCTTGGCAGAATTAATGGATAAAGTAAAATTATATTTTTCCCAATAAGAGTTACTTTAAAGGTGGAAGAAGGATGTATATGATAAATCAAATCTGATTCTTTTTTTCTGCATATATTGGTGGGATTGCATAGATGAGGAACTCCAAGAGACTTGGTAAAAAACAAAAACAAAAACAAACAAAAAAAAAAACCCTCAGATTAAGGTCAGGGCTTCAGGCTGAATTTTGGATAGGACAGCATTGCCCAAAGAATGAGAAGGGACTGCTGGGAAGTACTCTAGGGATGTGTTAAGTGGGGGCAGGTGGCATAAAGGATATAGATTGATAAGCTTTTCAAAACTTTCATTCTTTTAGCTGGTTGCCTAGGAGATATTGGGGATTTGAAGGGATTCTATAAATAACATCCCTCTTCTCCTCGCCCTATGTTCTGAATCAGTTGAAAATAAGACTTAAAGAATAAGGCAAATGGGTCCAGCCGGTGTGACTCAATGGTTGAACATCGACTTATGAACCAGGAGGTCACAGATCGATTCCTGGTCAGGGCACATGCCCACCTTGTAAGTTCAATCCCCAGTAGGGGGCCTGTAGAGGCAGCCAATCTATGTTTCTCTTTCCTCTTTCTAAAATCAATAAATCTATTTAAAAAAAGAATGAGGCAAATGGGAAATCAACTTATTGTTATTACTGATAAAGATAAGGCCTTAGAACTGTTCAATGAAGTGAGATTTTGAGTCTGGAAAGCATGAACACTTGCAAGTTGCTACCTCATACTATGGTAGAGGAATTAAGAAATAGAGACTATCCTCACCAGACACACACACCATTTTAGGGCTTTTGATTATTGTGTCTCAATCGATAAAAGTGGAACAATAGCGATTAACAATCAAATAGTAAGAGGCTAGGATTATTTATTAAAATAATTCATACTCATAGAAACCAGAGGATGTGTAGGAATAGGCTTTGTCTGTTTAATAAGTGGCATTAGAAACCCTTGCAACTGGGTTACTTGGTTTATCTGATGACTGGGAAGACAGGATTTGATAGCATCCAGATTAGGCTACACTAAACCTAAACAAGAAAATACCTGATTGTAGAAGGCTACTCAAAATGTAGCCTATTTGTACCAACAACATTAGTATCAGCTGGGAGATTGTAAGAAGTTTAAAATTCAGGTTCCACTTCTGCCCTACTGAATCAGAGACTTTTTTTTTTTTTTTTTTTTTTAGAAATTTAGCAAAATCACCAGGTGATTTTGTGTACATTTGAGTTTTCCAATCCTACAAATATCCCTAAGAGTTCTTAGCAAACTGTAAAGTGTCTCTGTCGCTACCATTTTACAAGTATGTAAAACATAGCCATTTACAGAGGGGGGCTATATTGATGGGAAAATATAAAAAGAAGCATCGTTCTCATGTGTACAATGTGTGAAACAAGCTTTTGTTTTATTGCCATCTCTTAAGTCAAGCCATTGTATATAAAATACATTCTGGTTTTTAGATTACTTTGAATTAGAATGTCTGTATCATACTTATCTAAAATGGGCACAGTAGACTTGTAGTCCTTCCCTTGTACATACACACAAACACACAATACCCATACATCTTTGCCAATTTATAAAGTTAAAGACAGTCATCTATTTTATTAATGGAAAAGAATGGAAAAGACATCCAAACTTCAACTAATGAGGAAATTTTCATTGAATATCAGTATATTTTTAAGAACAATTGTTTGAAGAATATATCAAAGAAACTTCCCAAAAGATGATTTGAAATTTTTTGGGAAAGAGATTTAATTAATGTATACAAATGTTCTCATGCTGACTTGAACCCAGTAACACTGGGATGCCCATGAGCCCACTTTAAATAAAATTTTATCTATTTTTTAATAGATAATGTGTGCATAGTTCAAAATCCAAAGGCACAAAAAAGAATAATTTTTTTTAATCATTCTTATCTCCTATTCTGTTGCTCTCTCTGGAGAAAACCATTGTGACCAATTTCTTGCTTATCCTTTTAGAAATACATGTGCATACACAAGTAACTACTTGTATGTATTAATGGTACATACAAATGGTAATAAGATATATATATAGGGTCCAAATGGTAATAAGATATATATATAGGATATCCTAAAAATGTATACACACTTTACAGCTGTTAGCTCAGTTGATGTTTCTTTCTTTTTATATTTAATCCATTGAAATTAATAACTATTCAATGTGTATATACATTTTGGGGGGACACCCTATATATTCTGTTCTGCAACATATAGAGTTGCCACATTCTTTTTAATGGCTGCATATTACTTCATTGTATGAAGGCGTTGTATTTAACCACTCTTTCATGTATGGACATTTCAGCTGCCAATATTTTGCTACTATATGCAATGCCATGCACACAGAATTCAAATGTATCTATATATGTTAAATACTTAGAAAAGGATTAAAGATCACCATAAATGTTTATTTGAATATATATTTTTTCTATTTTTATATTTGAAATACATTTTCAAACTGCCTTCCATAGAGCTTGCACCAAATTTGCATATCTACTAAAATAATATAAACATGCATACTTTCCACAACAGTGAGTTACAAACTTTTGATCTTTGCCAAGTGTAAACTTCCATTGTATTTGGCTTATTAGGAATGAGGGTGAATATCTTTTTAATGTTAGAGCCCTGTGAATTCCCTTTTCGTGGATGAATTGGTTGTTTATACCTTCGGCCCATTTTTCTACTGGGTTGTTGGTCCTTTTCTTGTTGATCAGTAAGAGTTTTATGTATAAGGAAATTAGCCTTTGTGATATTAAATACAGTTTTTAATCATTTGCCTTTTGGTGTTTTTGCCATATAGTATTTTTAAAATGTTTACATAGTCAAATCTAAGACACTTTTTTTCTTTTATTTTTCCTGATATATACAACATTTTATGTCATACTTTGGAAGGCATTTTTTACTCCAAGATATTAACAACACTTTCCCATGTTTTCTTCCAATGCTGTTAAAAAAATTAACATTTTGATCCAGTTTTATTTTTATGTAAAATATGAGGTAGGAATGCAATCTCTTATTTTTTTCCATATGGATTCCTACCTTTGGTTCTTTTCTGAACTTTCTTTTCTGTTTCATTGAATTGTGTAATTATTTACTATTTTAATACTATTTAAATTATCACACCGTTTTAATTACCATCATACTATAATTTTTATTTATTTATTTATTTATTTATTTATTTTTAATATATATTTTATTTTTTTCAGAGAGAGGAAGGGATAGGGATAGAGTTAGAAACATCGATGAGAAATATAGATCAGCTGCCACCTGCACACCCCCTACTGGGGATGTGTCTGCAACCAAAGTACTTGCCCTTGACCAGAATTGAACCTGGGACCCTTGAGTCCACAGGCCAATGATCTGTCCACTGAGCCAAACTGGTTAGGGCTCATCCTATAATTTTTAAAATATCTGATAGGACTAGACTCCTTATTTTTCTATTTCAGAATCTTCTAGGCTATTTTTCTCAATTTGTACCCCCAGCCTCAGGTAACCATTAAGTGGATTTTTATCATAGATTTACCTTTTCAAATTTTTAAACAATGGAGCTATAAAATATATAGTCTTTTACATCTGGCTATTCACACTTAGCATACTGTTTTTGAGGTTTATCCATGTTGTATATATCAGTGGTTCATTCCTTTGTATTGCCGAATAGTGTTTCATTATGTGGATAAACTACATTTTGTTTATTCATTCACCAGTTAAGGCACTTTTGGCTTGTTTCCACTTTTTTGCTATCATGGATAATGTTAATATGAACATTCACATACAAGTTTTTTGTGTATAAACATTTTATTTTCTCGTGGGCAACAAAGAGTTGAACTGCTGCACTATATGGTAAGTATGTCTTTAAAAACTGCTAAACTGTTTTTCAAAATGATTGTACCATTTTACATTCTTACCAACAATTTAGTTTCTCCACATCCTCATCAACACTATTTATTATAACTATGACGGTGGTATTTATAGTGGATTTAATTTGAGCATCTTTTTATGTGCTTATTAACTCTTCATATATATTTTTTGTTGAACAATTTATGCAAACCTTTTGCCCATATTTTGACTGTGTTGTTTTCTTCCTGTTATAAAGTTATAAGAATTCTTTATATATTCTGGATAAAGGTCCTTTATCAAATATATGATTTGCAAATATTTTCTATCAGTTTGTGGTTTATTTTTAATGGAGTCTTTTGAAGAGCAAAAGTTTTAATGATAAAATCTAATTTATCACTTTTGCTTTTATTGCTTGTGTTTTGATCTTGTATCTAACCTTTGCATAACCCAGTAGTTGGTTCTCCACTGGAGGTGGTTTTGCCCCCAAGGGACATTTGGTAATGTCTGGAGCTATTTACTGTTGTCAGAACTAGCAGCAGGATTGCTACTAGAGTGTACTGGGTAGAGGCCAAGGATGCTGCTAAGCATTTTACAATGCAGAGGAAATTTCACAACAAAGAATAATCTGGCCCATAATGTTAATCTGGCCCATAATGTCAGTATTGTCAGATTGAGAAACATTGACATAACCCAAGGTTATGAAGATTTTCTTTTTTAACTTCAAAATATTTGATAATTTCAACTCATACATAGGTATGTGATCCATTTTGAGTTCACTTTGTATATGATGTGAAGTAGGGGTCTGATTCATTATTTTGCCTGTGGATATGCAGTTTTCTCAAGACCATTTGTTGAAAATATAAATGGATATCTGGCCTTTTGAATTATTTTTCCCTTTATAAAAATTAATTGATATTAAATGTTCAGGTTCAAGCTTTTTTTTTTAATAGGTGTTTTCATTGTACATCTTTTCCCATAGTTTTACTTTTAACGTAACCTATATCATTTAAACATTTGAGATGAGTTTTTTGTAGGTAGCATATAGTTGGGTCATATATATGTATATATATGTTGATTTCAGAGAGGAAAGAAGAGGGAGAAAGAGGTAGAAACATCAGTGAAGAGAAAGAAACATTGATCAGCTGCCTCCTTCATACCCCACCTGGGGGATTGAGCCCACAACCCAGTCATGTGCCTAGATGGGAATTGTGCTGTGACATCCTGGTTCATAGATCAAAGCTCAGCTACTGAGCCACACTGCCAGGCAGGTCATATATATTTTTTATTCTGACAATTGATGTGTTTAGACTTTTACATTTAGTCTAATCATTGATATGTTTGGATTTAGGTCTACTATTTTAATATTAGTTCTATTTTTTCATTTTTTTCTTCTTGTTGCCTTCTTTTGAATTATTTAAACATTATTTAATATTCCATTTTAATTTATTTTGTTTTTTACTATTATCTCTTTGTGTATTTTTTTTTAGTATTTTTTTCTTTCTAGGAATTAGAATATATATAACTTTTAAGTCTAGGTAGGATAGTTCACTTCAACTGGAATGTAGACATCTAACCCTTTACACTTTCCTTATATTTAGTTATTTCAAGTACTTATTCTATGTAGATTTAAAAACTTTCATACAGTGTTATATTTATTTTCAACCATAAAAGTATTTTATAAAACTGACATTTTTATTATTTCTGTTGCTCTTTATTCTCACTATTCCCAATTTCCTTCTAATATTACTATCCTTTTGTCTTAAGAAATAGAACATATTATCTGAGAGTGAATTCTGTTTTCTTTAATCTGAAATTTTATTTTTTTTAATTACTTATTGTTGAAAGTATATCTCCCTTTTCTCCCATTAACCTCTCTCCACCCACTCCCTAAAATTTTCCTTATTTGACCTTTATTCCTGAAGTATATTTTTACTGGATGTAGAATTCTGGTTTGACAGTTCTTTTCATTTAGTGCTTTACCATGCCATATCTTCTGGTGTCTATGGTTTATGATAAATGTTACCACTCAAATTGTTGTTCCCCTATATAATTTGTCTATGGTTAATTTGATTTTTTTATTCTTTTGTTTTAAGCAATCTGATTATGACAAGTCTTAAAGTGAATTTCTTTAAGCTTATCTTATTTTAGGTTTTCTTAGCTTCTTAAATTTGTTACATCCTGTGGCACAAATTGGGGAAGTTTTCATCCATTCAATATTTTTCTATACCACACTTTTACTTCTCTTCTAGGTTTTTCATGACATAGATGTAAAAAATTTTGTATTGTCTTACAGGCCCTGAAGGTATGTTTATTTTCTTAATCTTTTTTAAAGTTTAATCAATCTTGGTTTGTTTGTTTTTTTTCCAGTGTGGCAAATTTGCCTTGTTCTATCTTCAAGTTTATTGATTTTCCTCTCTTTTTTCCCATCCAATAAGTTTTGATGTTGAATTTTTTGCTTTACTTCTAAAATTTCCATTTGGTTCTTCTTTATATCTTCTTTATGCCAAGACTTTTTGTGTTTCCATTTGTGTCAACAGTATTTGTAAGTAGTTTCTCACATGGAAGTTTTCCCTTCTGAAAGAGCTCCTGATATTGGCCTGTTTACTTGCTCTTTGACTTTTCATCAGAGTCAGGTGCATAATGTACAAAATAAAAATTAGGTTACTTTAGTGTTTTGTTTGTTTTTTGTTTTTGCTGCTATGATTTCAGGTGAATGGCAATCTACTATGTTTATATTAGAATAGTTGCTTTGGATATTTTTTTCTGATTTAATACTTGAAAACTAAGCATTGTTTGAGAAACCTGGGTATAAATTTTGCTCTTGCTAATTTCTAGCATTGTGTTGCTGACAAGTCTTCACCTCTCTGGGAAACATTTTCATGAAGGTTGAATAGATCTTTGAACTGCATTTCTTCTAACATTTGAGAGGTCTTTCATCTGTGGGGCATGGTACAGTATCCACATTGTCCTTTAACCTATTTCTTTCCTGCCCTTGTTAGTCTTGGGACAATGATGGGGACTGCTTGATGATATTATGTGAACATAAAAACACTGGAATTCTTAGAAAGCAAGAATACCGATGACCAAACAGCCACTGGAAGCAGGAAGAGTTTAGTCTAGAGGGAAATTATATTTTCCATATCATGGACAGGTGGATGTTAATATCTCGTTTTTAAATTAAAGGTGATATAACCAACTTTCTTTTATCAATAGTCCAGCAAACCTTACAATTAAGAAAATATCAACATCTACTTTGAATCCCTTCTGCTAAATTTTTTCCAAGTCTACCCGACCTCTTTGTTCTAGCCTTGGCAGAACCTTTCTGGCCTGTTCTGGGATGTTCTGCCCTCCACTACCATTTTCTTTCCTTCCCACAGCTACTTCAGCTCTCAGCTGCCGCTGTGGACAAAGGACGCAGCGTAGGGGAGGTTCTGCAGTCAGTGCTGCGCTACGAGAAGGAGCGACAGCTGGATGAGGCAGTGGGAAACGTTACACGGCTGCAGCTGCTGGACTGGCTGATGGTGAACTTGTGATGGGAACCCAACCACTGCTTTCCCCTTTTCCAGCAGTGGGCCCAGCCTTGCCCCCTCCCTTCATTTTCACTTCCACAGCTCCCCTCTCTATATCCTCACAGAGCCTTAACATTATCTTCATCCCACTCACATCAAAGACATGTCATCTTATGCTAGTCACTGGATTTTGCAGATTTTCCTGTCCATGCGAGCAAGGACATAAAATAAAACAAAATTACAATTAAAGGGCTCCTGTGTTTGGTTTCCTTGGGATCCAATGTGCTGCAACCTTTTGCAGTGGCTGAAGAAGGGGCCATGGACAAATGAAAATGCTATACAAGAAATACGAATTTAGACGGCATTGGGGGGCCGGGGTGTCTTTCTGATGAAGAGAACACTGAAACTCTGGCTGGTCCACTTTTTAGTTTTAGATACATATCTTGTCCTCAGTAAAGCACAGTAAACAGGTAGCAGGCAGAACATTCAAAGGTCAGTAAAAATCAGTAAAGCCCTGACCGGTTTGGCTCAAGGGTCCCAGGTTCGATTCCAGTCAAGGGCATGTACCTTGGTTGCTGATACATCCCGAGTAGGGGGTGTACAAGAGGCAGCTGTTCGATGTTTCTCATGGATGTTTCTAACTCTCTATCCCTCTCCCTTCCTCTCTGTAAAAAAATCAATATATTAAAAAAAAAAAAAAAAAGATCAGTAAAGATTTACTTTGAGGCTATCAGGTCAGGAAATTGCTTCAAGCCATCACTGTCAAAACACGGAACAATTGGTGCATAGCTTTAGCCCTGCACCAGCCTTCTGTGTTCCTTGATGCATTGTCATGACAGTATTGACAATGGATGGCTTCCCACACAATTCGGCAATAAGGAATTATTTTTTCTCAGGAATGAAAAAATAATCAGATGGATAGCAGAAGAAAATGTATCTCCCATTCTGTCACAATTTGCAGCTCTCCTTTAAAATGTTCCCTAAATATAGGAAGAATTTATCAACTCATTTCAATCTTCTATAACCATGCAAATTGAAAAATATTTTTAATATCCAACCTAAATCATTCTAATTATAGTGTCAAGACTTAGGCTTCAAGGACAAAACTGTCCACCTCAACTTTATCCATGGTTGAAGATAGGCCCAAAAGACTCAAGATTTCTTGCTAGTTCTGTACTTTCCTGGTTATAGGACATGGGACAAGTTACCTCTCCCATGATACTGCTCTGACTTAAGGTCCACATCACTCCATTTAAAAAGCATTTAAAAAGCATTTCTGGTTCTTATCCTGACCTTTCAATGCAATGTTATATTATTGATCCTTCCTTCTAGAAACTTTCTCCTCCTTTGGTTTCTAATTTTCCTTTCTCTTTGGGACTCAACTTTGTCAACCACTTGCATATTTACCTTTCTTAGGACTCTCTCAACCCTCTGCTATTTTCACTCTATATTATCTTTCCTGCCTGATTTTATGCAAACCCATAGCTTCAGTTTTCTGGTGTTTCTCTTCATACAATATTATACAATGATTAAAATGAAAACTACAAAGCCAGGTATATTTTTATGTTTATGGCATCATGATCTTGAGTTTCTTGTAAAATTTTATCGGTACTAAAATTACAACATACAGAGATTGTATATGCATTAGCTAAGGACTAGAAAGGCAAAAAATTGAACTTAGAGTGATGAGTGTGATGGATGGATGAGCACATCCTGCTATTGTGGTCCTAGAGAAGCATCAGACTTGGTGCTGTCACTCTCACCAGCATCTTAGTATGAGGCTTGTGAACCATCTGGCCAATCAAGGATCCCAGTATCTCAGACATAGTGATTGGTTTAAGACCAGTCATTTCTAAAACTTTCCTGGCAGCCATGAAGACTGCATATCTGATTGGATGATACTGATAATCTTAACTCTGGGCACAGCTTGTCTTCAGAATGAGGTTAACCATAAAAAGAAGCAAGGTTAAAATGTAGAGGGAGTGAGCCTTGTTTGAATGCCTAGATTCTGCTGTGCCTGAAACTACACATACCCTTCTGATTGCTCAATTATATAAACCACTAAATGTCTTGTTGCTTAAAGTAGTTTGAATTCAGCTTCTCTCATTTTCAAACAAGAATCCTGTCTTGGGGAAAAAAAAAATAGAGTTCTTATTAGTGATGATATAACTGACTGTTTAACGTCTCTTCCATACACACAGACCCATATGAATACACCCCCACTGCTTTATTGTTTTGAGGGCATAAGGAGGGAATATAAATGCAAGGACGTTCTCTCCCACTCCTCCTATCAGGAATCATGCCAACTGGCATTGTGAATAGAGTTGTTTTTGTTTTGTTTTGTTTTTTAAACAACCTTTATGCATTAAAAACAACAATCTTATGTATTGTACAATATAAGTATGGTCTCTAATACAAATCATTGGTGAAAAGGAACAGGACACACCCTCAGGAAAGGTCATACAATAGGTGGTAAAATGCTTATGTTCTTGGGGGAGGACTTCTTGCTTTGCTCTGTGGAGGTCGCGGATTCCTCAGACCTGACAACTGCCTCTGGTTTACTGGAAGCTTCTGCTATGTGAGGCAACTGGACAACTTCAGCTGCATGCTGGAGAGAGCCCTGCTGATCACCTGAATTTTGAAACTGCTTGTTGGTGCCATCTTTTGTTTTGTTTTTGGCCTCTTCTTTGGTGATCATATCTGCTGAAGGAGAGAGAAGACAAAGGAACAAGTGTTCAAATGTGAATTCTAATTGTCCATTAGCAGGAAAATTCTGGACGAAATGATATTAAATTCATTTATAAGGCACATTATATGTGCCAGGCCTCCTTCTAAGCACTTTATATTTACTAATTCATTTGATCCTTTCTCCACAACCATAGAAAACAGTCATAACTCTAATTCTCATACATGAAGAAACTGAGATACAGCGAGGCAAATAAATTGCCCAAAGGCCTACACCTGGAAAATGAGAGGGTCTGAATTTTATTCCAGTCAATCTGATTCCAATGACCGTGTATATAACCAGTAATTTATTTTTATATAAAAATACTTTCTCCATGATCTGATAAAAATTCAAAAGGTAATTATGGGACTGCAGAAAAGGATACAGTGAAAAAAATAACAGAAAGAGAATTCAAGATGAAAAATGGAAAATCCTAACAATAAGGAAGCAAAAAAGGGCTACAATAAAGTTTCCTGAAAGGAAAAATCACTAAAGTAAGAAATGGCAGGCCAATAGTGTTGTAGCCAGAATAATTATCCATGGTTAAATTCAGAGAAACTGACATGCAATCCTCCAGAGATGCCTACCCCCTGGACTATGGGAAAAGATTCGTTATTTGAGGGGCAGTACCTTTTTTATTCAAGTGGTGATGGCCTTGAACCTTGTCTTTTCTTGCCTCAGAGGATAAAGGGAGATTGAGTTTCCTCAGGGTCTGGGGCCTGGGCCGTGCTTTGAAACTCCGTGACTCATGAATCCAAGCATGCTTGAGAGCCTGGTCAGGGGTCATGCGAAGAGAAGGTTCCCATCTATACACCAACAAAGCCCAGCACAGATTATTGTTTTATTTTAAATAATGAAACATTTTCAAAGACTCCAATAAAAAAAACTAAATGGTTCATTTTAAGGAGCCCATTTAAGCTATGTAATAACTCAAAGATACTAAAGAATAGATATTATGACACATAATTTTAAAGTACCTGGAAACAACTATTGGACAATCATTTTTAGTAAATGTTCATGACAAGCCAAGTCTCCCAGAGTTCTATAAATTTCCTTATAAGAAATATAGGAAATCTTAACCAACATGATTTTGGATTTGTAAACTAAGAAGATAAAAAAGATGCATAATTTTAATTCCCAAACTACAGAATTTGGGCCTACAAATATATCACAAAGAATATTATGGCATGGCCAGTGTTGTCATTGGTTGAGCATCGATCCATGAACCAGGAGGTCACTATTTGATTCCTTGTTAGGGCACGTGCCCAGATTGTGGGCTCTATCCCCAGTAGGGGGCATGCAGGAGGCAGCAGATAAATGATTCTATCTCATCATTGACATTTCTATCTATCTCTGAAGAAAATAAAGCATATTTAAAAAGTATTATAGAATGATAGAATATTAAAATTATAAGGGACTTGTTTATAATCCAGCCAAAATTCGAATGCAGTAACAAAATACATTTGACAGAACCCCTAGCATGGAATCATCCTGTTGTCCTTGAATAATTTTAGTGGCAAGGCACTAACTCATAGAACCACATGTTGTTTTTTTAAATGCCAATTCTTTAGTTTTCCATTTTTATTAAATCAAAATTCATTTCCTAAGAATTTTAAGCCTAGTAAGTTGGATCCAGGTCATAAATTTTGATATATTATGCTACCCATCAGCATTATATGGATTGAGACAACTAAACCATATTTTATAATTTTGTAAGTATCTGAAAACATTTATACTACTAACTCCTGATCACGTGACGTGGTTGCCACTTTCCTAGATAGGCAATTTGAGCTGTTGTCTAACTGCAGGTCATTATATCCTAGACTTATCAAGGCCATACACAACCGAAATTCCCAGTTCTTTGTCAAATGAACTGCTATTGAGCTACATCTGCCCTCTTCTTTTAGACTTCTAGGGTTAGTCTATAAAACCTAGGCCAGCACTTTACATTCACCACTGTTACATTTGACTAAGAAATTCTAGTCTCTCATTCCAAGATTTTCTGATTAGCAAAATATGGAGTGATGAAGTAACAGGCTTCAGTAATTTGACTATTACTTGCAAGTTGTGAGCAACCAACCATTTGCACTAAAAAATAATGTCTGTCTTTGTTTTAAGCTGTGTTCTGGATGGTTGGGTTTTCTGGATCAATCTATTTGCCATTCGGCACAGACCAACTAGCAAAACCTTTTTTTTAAAAAATGGCAGTAGTAGAATGGGTATTATCAACAAAAGACAAGTGCTGGAGAAGATGTAGAGAAAAAGGAACCCTCGTGTAATGCTGGTGGGAATGCAGACTGGTGAAGCCACTGTGGAAGACAGTAAGGAATTTCCTCAAAAGTTAAAAATGGAACTTCTGTTTGACCCAGTAATCCCATTTCTAGGACTATATCCCAAGAAATCAGAAATATCAATGAGAAAGGATATATGCACCCCTATGTTCATAGTAGAACAATTTACAATAGCTAAGATTTGGAAACAGCCTAAGTGCCCACGGCAGATGAGTAGATAAGAAAACTATGGTACATCTACACAATGGAATACTATGCTGCTATAAAAAAGAAGGAACTTTTACCATTTGCAACAGCATAGATGGAACCAGAGAACATTATGCTGAGCAAAATAAGCCAATTGAAGAAAGACAAATATCACATGATCTCAGTCATATCTACACTAATAAAAGAGAAACATGCAAATTGTCTACGTACTCTCACAACGCCCACCAGCCTACCAGGAGTGAGTATGCAAATTAACCTGACAAAGATGGCGATGGCCCCACCGCCCAGCTGCTCAGGGCCTCTGGGCAGCATGCATGGAGGCATGGAGTGGCTGGGTGGGGTGGAACACCTCCTATGAGGGGGAGGGAAAGGGCGGAGGGAGCTACAGGAGTGATGCTCTGCCCAGAGTGAAGACTGAAGGTGGCGGCCAAAGCGAAGGCCTTGGTCCCAGGTGCCGGAGGAAAACTGGAGTCGGCAGCCTGGGGAAGGAAGGCCTATTGCATAAATCTCGAATCTCTTGGTGCAATGGGCCTCTAGTGTGGGATATAATGATCCACATAATTTGATGAACAAGAATAGATCCAGAGACAAATTGTGGGGGGTAGGGGGGGGTTTAGAGAGCAACCAAAGAACTTGTACAAATGCATATTAGCATAACTAATGGACACAAGCACTGGGATGGTAGGCGCTTGCCTAAGGTAGGAATGGCTGTTGGGGGGGGTGTCAATTGGGGGGAAAGGAAACATATGTAAAACTTTAGATAATAATAATAATAAAGACAGTAGTTCCCAGATGGTGTGGCTCAGTGATAGAGCATTTGACCCATGCACCAAAGGTCAACAGTTCAATTTGTGATCAGGGCACATGCCCTGGCAAGGGGTATGCAGGAGGCAGCTGAGTGATGTTAATGTTTCTCTCTCTCCCTTCCTCTCTAAAAATCAATAAAAACATATTTTTAAAAATGATAGTAGTTTACATTTTCCAAATACCTTCTAAATATGCACTGTACTAGGTAGGTGTTTTGTGTGCTATTCTTTTCTTACAGTGATTTGACTTAAACATGAAACTTAATTTCTAAGACTTAAAATGCCCATGTAGATTCAAAAAGCTGTACGTAATAAATGGCTTTATAACTCAATCTTTCCCTTCCGGGAAGAATTTATGCTCTAAACCCCAGGGAAATGGGGAGAGGCCTTGAACCAGTACAATGGGCATGTGTGCAGAAGACATTTAGGACTTGCCTACCATCTCACTGCCAGGCAGCTGGAGGCCAAGGAGAAGGCAAGCTTTACACACATTGTAATCCAGGGGAAGACACTTAATCTCTTTGAACCTCAGCTGTAATATCTCAAAACAGAGCAAATCATCTGCCCTGACAATCACACAGGAGGTATGGAGAGCACTCTGATGAGGCAACAGATGGGAAGCATTTTGTAGACTCTAAAGGTCTTTGGTCAGCACTCACTGTTTTTACAACTCTCTCCCAGCCCCAGACTTCCACCAGCAAACATATAGGAAAGTACAGTATTTAAAAGGAGAATCAGAGACAAAGACACCCTTGACAACTCACACCAAACACCTTCTGAGAAAGTCCAGGAAGCTGGAGTCATAGGTTTTCAGCACCATCGTGAGATCCTTGGAATCCGGGTATCTTTTTCTCCCCCTATTGTTAGTTATATTTTTAGGAAAACCTGTGGGATCTTTAGAGATACAACAGTCGATGTTTAGTTCCAGTTGTAATATTCATTGGTCACATCACAGCTGTTCACTCATCCAAGCTGTCTTGGGTGGTTTTGCAGCTCTCTCACTCCTGTACTTCACCACCCTGTCCGTACAAACATGCCTGCAATCTCACTCAATTTGAAATAACCACAAGGGAAGTATCCGATGGATTTAACTACATTTTAGATCAATTTCCCCTACTATTTACTATGTTCTGAATCTCCTTCCCACCACCTCCTCCTTGAATCAATCAAGTGATTTTCGGTAAAATAATAATGATAAAGATTAATAACAATAACAATAAACCTGAGATGATGAAAATGTTCAGCTCTGAACAAGAAAGATATTGTTCATTCTCAGATTACTGATGCCTTACCTTCTTCCCCCACTAACTCAATAAAGTGAGAATTTGGGACATCATGAGGTATAATAAAAAAGTCATTTTAGGAGAATGATTTGCTTTCAGAGCCTATTTACAAACCACACAGGCAACTTATCCTCATTACTTTCTTTGTAGTCACATAAAAAATTTCTATCCATAATTGAAAATCAAACTTGATTGCTTCTTAGGTCACAGCTTGAAGTGACTTTCTTCAGTCATTTTCATCAATTATAGCCTCCCACATGCATGGTTTGTCGTGCCTGAAAAGAAGCCCTTGAAGACAGCTTTGTGCAGTGCTGTGCAGGTGAGACCACTCATTTGGACACCTGGATTCTGGTGTGTATGCTCAGAAAAGTTGATCACTTATGCTCACACCTTATAAGTCTGCATGTAAATGGGTGGATATGTATATACACACACGTACACACAATTTACAGATTAAACTGAATTCTCACAAAAACTCAGTGGGGCTCATGTAAAAGGCCTTCTGGAAGGTGCACAGTGAAGTGCTTTCGTTACTTTTGTAATCAGTGCAATTTGTGGAGCCTCCAAAAGAACATCTGCTCTTAATTCCTGGCAGGACCATGAATGTGCATATGGGTATGTGTGTACATACACAGACGTGTATCTATATATGTATTTATTTGTATAAGGGTTCAATGCATGGCATAAGTGGGTATAGGTGCTACGAATTCACACAAATCCCTATTTCCCTTTTCGACTGTGGCTCCAGTGGCCCCACCCTCACCTTATCCTTTATGTTGCTCTTTTTACAAATGACCAAAGAAAAATCAGGCTCACGGGCTTATAAATGCATAGTTCCTAAAGTTGTCATTATGTAATTGATTTACTTGTACAAGTTTTCTTACCCCACCTATTCTCTCCATCTGCTTCTGGCTGCCTGGAGCTCCTAACTATCTTACTTTTCTTTGAGGCAACATCACTTTGCTCCTGATTAATAGTATTTACAAGGAGTGGCTGGGAGTTGGCAGCCCAACCTGAGAAAGGGAGCCAAGTAGGAAATGGACACAGTGTTTCCCAAGCTCACTGTATCATGGGAATCACAAAGAACTATCGTTAAAAACATAGACCCTTGAGTCCCACCTTAAGCCTACCAAACCATAGGTTATTCATGAGGGTCATGAGAATTAACATATTGTCTAGTACCCAAGTGATTCTCATAATCAGATAAAGTTTGGGAAACACTGAGGAGGATGCAGCTCCTGATAATCTTTTTTATGCAGGAAGTGAGGATATGTGGATGTTGCTACCAAAATCACATCACCATTGTAAAGCCTAGTGTTGATGGTAAAAATTGGATACCCTATAAAATGGGTATGTGTATATCTTTGGTTCTCTCTCAAAGATGCCCTTCCTTTTAGTTCCCACCCATACTTTCTCTTGAGTTTAGTGTTATAGTTAAGATGTGGCTCTTGCCCTGGCCAGGAGGCAACTGATCAATGTCTCACTCCTCTCTCTCTCTCTCTCTCTCTCTCTCTCTCTCTCTCTAATAAATATATATACTGGGGTGGGGGTGGGGGTTAAAAAAAAAAGATGTGGTTCTTCCCACAATGTCTTTGTCTAGCAGGAGGAAACACCAATATCTCTACTCTTCTTTCCCTAAATCCTTTGAAATCCAAAAGACCAGTTTGGAATCAAAAGACAAGTTCCATTGCTCCATGTTTAAATTATGGCAGCCAGTCAGCCTCTGTCTGCCATCAGACTACTCTAGAAGAATGTTAGTTAATGTGCAAGCACCATACTAAGGCTACCAGACATTGACCCCACTCAGAGGGAAGGTCTTCAAAGTTTCAGCATGACTGCAGAGTGATGTTTAAAAGATTTAACCTTTGGAATGGCATGGGACTGTCCAATCACAATGGATGACAGGCATCCCTGGCACTGAAGTAGATCATAGAGGACCTCCTCTTGCCAGGCCTTAAACTTTTAGTTTCTAAGTCATGGGGAATGCAAGGAGTCCTAGGAGAGGAGTCAGGCAGGGGCTTAAGGCTGTGGCATTTTACTAAAGGGTACAGAAATAGTCTATATCAGTGGTTGGCAAATTCATTAGTCAACAGAGCCAAAAATCAACAGTACAACAATTGAAATTTCTTTTGAGAGCCAATTTTTTTAAACTTAAACTTCTTATAATGCCACTTCTTTAAAATAGACTTGCCTAGGCTGTGGTATTTGTGGAAGAGCCACACTCAAGGGGCCAAAGAACCACATGTGACTCGTGAGCTGCAGTTTGCTGACCACTGGTCTACATGTTAACCATCACATGGCTGAACCAGCGCATACCCATTGACCACCAACATGACTGAAACTCTGACCAGGAGGACCCCCCCATGTATGTTTGACTCTCCTATTTACAGGGCAACTTGTGGAGAGAAATTATGCAATTTGCCTTTCATTTTGATACCACTCTCAGATGAAAAATAAGAAGTGGGAGAGTTAGAAATGACTGGGATTCCATAACCAGTATGAGCCTGTGAACTAATCCATTGACTATGGCTGGTCAGAAATGTCATTCCAGATGTCATAGAGTCCCTGCCTATGGAGTCCTGGCCTGTGGAGTCCCCGTTCCTCATGTCTGGCTTCACTCCACTCCTTTGGACTATGATTGTTGTTGTTGGTTTTTTTTTGTTGTTGTTTGTTTGTTTGTTTTTGTTTGTTTGTTTTTTCCTAGATGGGAATCCCTTAGCTTCTTGTAGTTCTTCAAGGGGATTTTAGGTATAAGACTAATTTTTTCTTTTGGGTAAATAGTGCTCTGGAAACCCTGCCTTAGTTGGCCATTTTGACCCACCTGTCCATCTTGAATAAAAAGGCAGAGGATCATAGAATCCAAAGCGTGGGAACTGTGATGAAGGCATCATGGGACTGTAGATGAGGCTTAATTCCAGTAATTAGCCAGATGTCCTGTACATAACTGGCAAGCCACAACAACCTCCCCCACATCCCACCCCCAACCCCCACCAGCAAAACTGTTCTGAGAGCCCTTGTTTACCCATCTTATTCCTAAGTTATAATGAACCTGAGATAGTAAGATTCTGGAGAAATAAGAGAATTTCAACAGAAAAAGAATAGTGCTCCATTAATGACAGAATATAGCAATGAAACTTTCACTATTCTTGAAAAGGACCTTCTACTCTTTGATTTCCCTGCACACTGCATGCTGTGAGGGGGCTAACTGCTTGGAGAGGCTAGGAGAACTTACAGGAGAGGGTATAGTTATAATATTTAAGATCTGCAGATATATCTTCTGAGAAGAAACATTATTGTTTTCATGTTCCTGCATATATTCTCTGCCAAGACTTCATGCCCAGTGTGACTCCCCCATCCCGTCTCCACCAATCCATCTGGTACCACTTCTCAGCATTGTCTTACTTTTCTGAAAGAAATCCCTCACCATAGCATGTCTTTTGGGATGGGGCCAAGGGAAGAGCACTAAATTGGGTTTGGGATGTGGGAGATGTCTTCAAAGCCTGTGCTACCTCATAGGCCATAGTGGGATAAAGAGAGTTAGACCTGGGACTTACCAAAGAATGTCTGTTTCCTGGAGGCTGTCTCAATGAATTGAGTTGGCGGCAGGCCCAGCACCTTCAACAATTAAAATGCAGTTGCTTCACTTTTATGAGTCACACATTCAAAGACAGTTAAGCTTAGGGGGCTTTTGGTCAAACTCTGCCTTCTACAAACACACACCCAGGACATTGTGCTATAAGTCAGTGACAGAGCAGGCCCAGAGCTTGGGTCTTTGACTCCTAACCCAGGCTGTCTCAGCACGCTGAGCATCAATACTGGTCAGGTCACTTTAAACAAGCATCAGCACCAACTAGAAGTAGGCACTCTTGATGGTAGCCAGATGTCATTATCACACTGAACAACCCAGTCAGTATCCATGATGAAACCCCTGAACTAAGGAATATCACATCCTGGCTCGGAGCACTGGGAAGGGAGGAAAGGAAGAGGAGATGGAAAAAAAAACAGGTGGTCATCACACATTTTATAACAAAATACCTACTTGAGAAAAAAGTGTAGCACTTACTTGTTTACCTATCCCCATTGCAATCTATAATTTGCACTGAGATAGAGAAATTATAGGTGTCACTCTAAGCTCAGGGTCACCTGCACTGGCAGCTGGGTTCACAGCCATATCCATGCAGACCCTGTCCCCCTGCTCCTCAGCCCCATTGACACTGAGGTCAAGAGGAAGCTGACTCTGGGGCAGTAGGAACTTGGCTCAGATCCCATACTCCTCATTCTTCTTGGTACTGGAAGAGTTCACGGGTGCTTTATTAAATTATTCATTGTCAACTTTAGAAGCCATTTATTCGGATACTTTCATTTTATAGAAGTCCAGAGCAAGAAAGTAAGTTGGCAAAGAGAAAGATCCAAAATGAAACTCCAGGTTTACTGATTCTCATGCCAGTGGTCATCTCAACATAGCCATCATTTACAGCTATTTTAACACTTTATTATTTTTAACCATGAAATTAAACTATCCTATATAATAAAGAGCTAATATGTTAATTAGACCAGACAAAGAACGACCATCCAGAATGATCTGGAACAACCTTCCAGAATGACTAGTAGGCAGGGAGTGAGGCCACTAGGCATCCGGGGCCACAAGGGCTGAGGCGGCCAGGGCTGAGAGGGTTGACCCTTCCACAGATTTCATGCATTGGGCCTCTAGTCCTATATAATAAAGGGTTAATGTGCAGCCGAAACCGGTTTGGCTCAGTGGATAGAGCGTCAGTCTGTGGACTGAAAGGGCCCAGGTTCGATTCCGGTCAAGGGCATATACCTTGGTTGCAGGCACATCCCCAGTAAGGGGTGTGCAAGAGGCAGCTGATCGATGATTCTCTCTCGATGTTTCTAACTCTCTATCCTTCTCTGTAAAAAATCAATAAAATATATTTTTAAAAAAAAAGGTTAATGTGCAAATCAACAGAATGATAGAATGACTGGTCGCTATGATGCACACTGACCACGAGGGGGCAGACACTGATTGCAGGAGCTGCCCCCTGGTGGTCAAAGCTCTCCCATAGGGGGAGCATCACTCAGCCCAAAGCTGGGCTCATGGCTGGCTAGTGCAGCGGTGGTGGTGGTGGGAGCCTCTCTGGCCTCCACAGCAGTGCAAAGGATGTCCAACTGCGGGCAGTCGGACATCCCCTGAGGGCTCCCAGACTGCAAGAGGGTGCAGGCCAGACTCAGGGACCCCCTTCCCCTGAGTGCACAGATTTCATGCACTGGGCCTCTAGTATTTAAATAATTCTCAAGGGTATGTGTGTGTCTCTGAGTTGTAACTTTGAGACACTTTAGAAAATTGAGATTTGTATAGATAGGTAGAAAGACAGATAGTGATAGATAATGAGCCTTTTTTGTTCACAGTCAAAATATCTTTGTTCACTAGAAATTTTCTATTTCATAGGGTTATTTTACTCCAGTTTTATCTAATTTAATTACATAACAAGAGGCATTTAAGTAAAAGGATAATAGGTATAACAAATGATGTCTGATGTATCCCTTTTTTGGAAGATACACTTCCCAGAAAGCTAAGAAAATGAATGACTAATGACTGAACAACACAGAGATTTTTTTTTTTAAACAACACATAGGTTTTGATGGGTATCATGTCACTCTGGTTTTAGAGTTTTTTGAATATATTTGAAAGACTGATATAACAGTTTTATTTTTAAATGTCACTTCACAATATGCTGAAAATCACAACTTTTGTAATTATTAATGGTGAAAAATGTTAGATGTCAACTTAAAAATGTAAAAGGGGATGCATAATTTCAAAAATACTTTTAGGGAACATCTACTCCAAAACAGAAGAGTATGCAGGCCACTGCCCTACAGCGAGCCTGATGCAACCCAACCTTTGAGAGTGGAAGTGAGCTGTCCTGCCGCTGCCCAGCAGAGTGTGGCCAGGCCGCCCCTCACCTCCATGATGCAGGCCAGCTGCTCCATTTCATTCTCCCCGGGGAACAGAGGGCAGCCCGTGTACAGCTCAGCCATGATACATCCCAGGCTCCACATGTCAATGGCCATGTTGTAGGGATGGCCCAGAATCACCTCTGGCGATCGGTAGAACCGGCTTTGGATGTACGAGTACACTATGAGCAAAAGAAAGAGAAAACTTCCCTTGGAAAACCTTCTCCTATCCAGAGCATCCTTCTCCAGGCTACCCTTTCAGGTGAGGGTGAATGATAATTATGATTCCCTACACCAAGCATGTCAAACTCGTGGCCCATGGTCCACATGCAGCCCACACTCAGCCAACACAACAGTATATAAGAAACGTTTTAATAAAAATTTCATAACTTAATTTTTTACAATATCTTGTTATACATAATCTTTACATATAAAACCCTACTATGCAAATAGACTGAATGGCAGAACAACTGAACAACCAAAACACTGGTCACTATAATGTGCACTGACCACTAGGGGGTGCATGCGGAACATGGTGGGCATTGGCAGCAGGCAGCAGGGCATGGAACATGGTAGGCATCGGCCATGGTGGGATGGTGGAGTAGGGACCCCAGACCAAAGCAGGGCTCGAGTTGCTGTCATCCAAATGAGCTTCTGGGGGTTACTGAAAATTTTTTGTTCCTGCACTCCAGGGTCCCTGCTGCCAGCACCAGCCCCACTTGCACCCATTGCTGGCATTGGAACCTGCTCTTGCCCGATCCCAGCACTGGCCCTGATCACTCAGTGCCATCAGCAGGTGTGAGCAGTAGCTGCTGGTCCTGATTGCCCCTGAAGGCTTCTCCACCTCCCCCTGCTCCTGAGGGGTGATTGGGGCAGCAGCCGACACTCACTGATGGCACTGGCCCCACTTGCACCCATTGCTGGCATCACCCCAATTGCTCTGTGCCATCAGCAGGTGCAAGCGGGGCCGGGGCCGTCAGCATGTGGGAGCAGCAGTGGTGGGAGTGGGCTGCTGGAAGATAGGGGACAGGGGGCCATGGCTGGAGGGTCGACCAGGGGCACCGAGGATGGACTGAAATCTGTCCTTATGCCCTCTGCAGCCTCACAGCTCACAGTTCCTTTTAAGGTGCACAAATTTTTGCACTGGGCCCCTAGTTATTAATAATAAGCTACAATATTTGCTAATGACCGATTGTTATAATTGTGCTGCATTAATTTCCCTATGTGCCTTTCATGCAAGCACACCGTTTCTCTCCACTAATACTAGCAGCACATATTTTAGCAGCTGATTACCACATCATTAGTCTTGGACTGACTTGTTTGGTGTGAGCAACAGGAAATATTTTGCTTTTGGAGAACAAGAAAAATAGGCTTATATGCATTAATCTTATTAATGTGTGCCATTATTTAGTGTCTGATAACTTAATGTTCAAGAAAAAATATTAATTTTTATTAAAATGTTCTATTATTTTATGTTAATAATTATTCATTTATTTCAGCCCTTTGTATTCAGCGTCTCTATTAAAATAGACCCATGTTTGTATGAAAATTGAAGCTTTTGTTTTTTTTGTGGCCCACATAAACTTTAACCTTATTTATTTGGACCTTTGAGTTTGACATGCTTGCCCTACGGGCTTTGCAGAAAATCTAAAGTACAACTGAGAGGCACTTAGGAGTCACACCTTGTATCTATCTCATCAAGTCTTACAGCTGCAGGCTCGTTATAGAGGTTATTAGCCTCACTTTATTGATAAAAAACTTTATTTCCCTATAGTTCTAGGAAATCAATTTTAGTCAATTAAGCTTAAAAAAAGGAAACATAAGACTAATATAAAACTGAGTTTCCAAACTATCATGTCAGTTTGGAGTAGACATCTTCAGAAAGTATTGTGATTTGGCAGAGGAGGCATATGAGAACTGAAAAAGAAGCACACAAAAGGCACAATTTAAAAATGTATATTCAATATGTTATGTACATATGTTGTTTAATGTAAAATGTAGAAGGGAAAGCTCAGTGGAATCTCAGGAGACAAAGCTGCATGGAAGATGATATTATAGGGAGACTGAGGCTGGAGAAATGGAACATTTTCATTGTTTTCCCATGCTATTATTGATGATTCCTTGGATGGGGCAGGGAAGGGATCCTATAATCCCTTCTTTGTTATAGTAAGGATATGATAATTTTGTGACTGAAGGCAAAATAAAGATTTAATAAAAATCACTTTTATGTCCTGCCTGCTTCCAAAATAGATTTGAAGAACTTGTCAACTAAAGTAAATACATACAGGATAGTGTTAAAAACTGGGTTTAACAGATACTTGCATAATGATTACTATGTGCCAGCCACTATTCCAAGTGTATATACAGATGAACCCTTTCAATCCTTACAACAACCCTAGGAAGGAGTTACTATTATTGTCCCCATTTTAAAATGAGAAAAATGAGGCATACAGAGATTAAATAAATGGTCAAGGTCATTTATCTATAAGTGGCAGAGCTGGGGTTTGAACCCAGGCAGTTCAAGTCTAGTGTTTCTATTCTATACTGTCACACAGTTAAACAAAAGATAAAGGGAAGTGTATAAAGAGGGATATGACAGAAACCAAAGAGAAAATAATTACAAATTTGCTTTTGAACATTCTGCCAGCCACTGCACCTATCATGTTATCTTTCTATGTCTTCCATTGGACTGTAAGCAACCTGAACACAGGAAATGTTTATTTTTTGTTCCTAGTATCCAGAACAATGACTGACACATTGTAGATACTCATTAAGTCTTTGTGGAATGGTACTTGTTGTCAACAGCAAACTTGATAAAAGCCAAAAGTAGAGATTAGCAAATCAAGTTCAACAGTTTGTGCCAATGTTCTCAGGGCTGTTTGCTGGATTCTAGCTTGAAAGAAGTATAAAGCCTAGGGAGCCTAGGGCAGTGAATCCCAAACTTCAGAATGGCCATGTGCAGATTCTTGGGTACTCCCCCAGAAAACTAGATATGGCACATTGGGGGTGAGGCCCTGGAAGCTATAGTTTTTGAGGCCACAAGTGATTCTGATGCACATCTAGTTAGTTTGACGACCAGTGTTCTTGGGTAATTCCTAATCCACAGAACATGAGATGTGCAAAGGACGCCTAGTGGCTTTAAATCCAACCTTCTCATTTTATAGAGGTATAAATTTAGTCTCAAAAAGTGAAATACTTTGTGCAAAACCATGCAAGCAATTTTATCAACTGAGCCCAGACTAGAACCCAAGTGACTTTGTTATAAAGTATTTGTTTCAGCAGGGAAAGAAATTCCGATAGGAAAATTCAGACAAAGATACTGGAATGGGGCTTACCTTTCTCATGCTCAAAACAGCTTGATCCAAAGTCAATAACTTTAATAGAGACTTGGCCTTTCTGGTATAACACAATATTTTCCTGAAGAGAAGAAGGACATATGTCACATTTCAATAATATTGTCCTAAGTCTTCTATTGACTTAAATGTCTGCCATTCTCCAGGACCCAGTCCAAAATTAGACTACTTCATGGTAGACTACTCACACATCTCCTCCAAATCACATGTGTTTACCTTCCTTGACATCCCATTTGACTTATATTATATACCTCTTACTTGCTGCTTTGCAGTATCTCTTTTACATATATTTTGCCCTTTCCCCATATAGATTATTCATTTTTTTAAATTTCCTTGGCACCTGGCCCTATGCCTTGCTTACATAAAGTCTTAGAAATATCACTGACAGAATTTGATGTATCCATTAAGTGCCCAGTCACATAGTTATGACAGTAGAAGACTTAAGCAAACAAGTAAAAAGACAATGTTTTGATTGGAATTTGTGATTCTTAGGCTGACTTTGGGGAAAAGGTAAAACCAGGAGTTCCAGCAGTGTCATGGATAGAGAGGCAGATCTCCTGGGCTCGCCTCCATGAGCATGACATTATTCCACTGGAAGATTAAACTACTAATCATGTTTTCAAAAATCTGGATATCAGATGAATTGATTATTATGAATATCAGATGAATGAATTGTTTTCTCAGTCCCTTACCATTCTAGATATGGAATATCAGCATTAATCCAAAACCCCTGGCACTATAAACTAAGTACAAATTTAGTTCCCACTCCTTTTTCTAAAGAATATTTGTGTTAACTGAAAGAGTAGAGTCAGCAAATCTTAAAAGAATGAGAATTTCTTGTGTGTGTCTAGGCCAATGAAAAGTATCCTTAGCTAGAGGGAACTGGCCTTCCAATTTATTGGCAGAAATCACTTGGCAGGGAGAGGAGAGGAGATCATGGATGCATCAGGCCATCACAAGTCTTTGATAATAAACATTAAGTTCATAAGAATAACTCTAATTCTTGAACCCACATTCATCATTCTGTGGGTTATATGCGTACTTTCCTACTTGGTACATTCATTCCAATTTACTTGACCTATTTCTCAAGAAAAAAAATATTTTGGCTACCAGGTGTTTTGTGAATTTACTTGGTGAGAGTCAGTCCCCTATGCTCAAAAGCCATTGTTATTGTGTCCCGTTGAAGCTGCAAAGCTAAGGATTAGGAACTTGAGTGTGGAGTTGTACCGGCATTGTGAGGCTCCTCCAGGCAGCCCTGAGAGAACATCTCTATTTGGACAATCATTAATTGTCTAAAAGTACCAAATTATCTAATGAATTACATTTTTTAAAAAATTAACCATTTTGGGGTGTGAGGAGAAAGAAATGAAAAAAAGTTAAAGGATATTTAAGTATCTGTGAAAGTCAGGTTGATTTTGAAACTAGCTCCTGACCTCATATCTTCATACTGTTATACCTTTTCTCTAAGGACCTCTCTATATTCCTCACATTTACTAGTATAATCATTAATTCATCTAACAAACATTTACCTACATACTGACTGCCATTTCTATCGTCAGGTACAATGTTAGGTCCTGAGAATAAAATGGTGAGAAGACATGATTCCTGACCTTGAGAAAACTTGCAGTTCAGTGTCCGGGTACACATAAGCAAACAACTCCTACAGAAAGCAATCAGAGCAGTAACAGAGCTAAGTATAGAATGTTAGCAGGACATGAAGGAAGGGCACATCGATTTCGAGTAAGAGTAGTAGTCATAGATTTGCTGTACCCTAAGACCAATTCAGAGTAGAGTGGAGATAGGGAGGATTTAATACAGCTGAGATCCAGCCCCCTGAATGACACATCTTCCACAGGAATGCCCTAGACCTTCCTATTCCTATCTACCTCAATGACACCATCTCTCTTCATTGTCCCCAATCCATCCTTTAGTCTTCACAACCTATGACTACTTGGCTTTCATCTGAGAGCTCTGGCCATGATTCTGTCTAGTTACCACTTGTGAAGAGAATGGAACAGTATATGAGGGTAGGAACCAGCTACCCTGGCAGGAAAGAAGTTGTACTCACAGGTTTGAGATCGCAGTGAATGATCTTCTCTAGATAAAGCATTTGTAAACACTTCAAAACAGAGAGGGTGAAGCGCCGAACTACTGTAAGACTGAAGCCTTGAAAGCTATTATTCTTCATTAACTCATACAAGTTGATTCTTGGAAAGAGAAAGTGATGTATATCAATGTAAAAAGTATAAAATGCTAAGTCTGAACCAGCAAACAATCCCATACTACCTGGTTTCCCTCTGGTAATAGGCAAGTGTCAGACCAGGAGGCAGGGCTTTTGTGGTCTATAAACTCAACTTTTCCATTGATTCATGGGGACTCCAGGGTGCCACTCAATTGTGCTGGCCTCTCAGATGTGCCCTCATTTCTTACATGAGAAGGTCATTAAATAATTTTGTTATGTTGCGGGTGTTAAGACATTGGATCAAATTTCTAAAATATTCATAGTTCTTCAGGTCCTTGGGAAGAATCCAGGAAGTCCACCAGTTACTCAACCTTCTGCTCCCAACTTCTGCACCCAACCCTAAAAAACTTCTGCACCCAACTTCTGCACCCAACCCTAAAAGACTATGTAAAGATGTCAGGTTTGCCCTGGATGGTGTGGCTCAGTTGTTTGGGTAGCATTTCGAGCACCAAAAGGTTGCTGAGTTTGATTTCAGTCAGGGCATATGCCTGGGTTGTGAGCTCCATCCCTGATAGGGAGGCTTCCAGAAGGCAGCCAATAGATGTTTTGCTCTCACATTGATGTTTCTCTCTCTCTCTCTCTATCTCTCTCTCTCTCTCTCTCTCTCTCTCTCTCTCTCTCTCTCTCTTTCTCCCCCCCCTTTCCTCTCTCTAAAAAGTCAATTTTTAAAAATTATTTTAAAGTTTAAAAATAAAATAAACAAAAAAGAAATATGTCAGGTTCCCAACAGATAAGGGAGCAAGAGTGTGGGCAGATGGGGGCTGGAGTAAAACAGAGACACCCTACCCTATCTATACCAAGCCTGACCGCTTGGTTCCATCTGTCACTTTGCAAGAATAAGGCCTCATTCTTGCCAGATTTTCCCAAACTTTCAAGACAAGCAGAAGTCTGCAATGTTATATAAAAACCAGCCATGTTATGTGAAATTTGCTGACTTAACAAATGTTGGAAACTAATGCAAAGCATTTTAACAAGTAAAACGTATTTGTGGGCTACCAGGTTATAACCTCTGTTCAAACTGTAAGATGAGGAGAGGAGGGCGAGGACACAGCCCAGAAGTGACCTGCATCAGCCTCTTTCTGATTTCTCCTAATCTTCTATCTCTAAACTTTATCTAACTCAGCCTGTATTTAGGAAGCCATTCATTTGTGATGGGCAGAGTGGCCTCATCCTAACCAGCTCTGAGACCTGGGCAACTCTGCAACCTCTCTGAGCTTTGGCTTTCCCCCACAGACACTGCTCCTCCTGACTTCTCAGAGCACTTTCAAAACAATGACATGCTAACTGTGCCCTTGATTAATGACCAAATCAGGCAGCCTGGGTTGCCCATGTTGTCACAGGAAGAGAATTCACTTGTGGACAGTGGACATTTTGTAATCACCAGAGATGGTGAGGAGAGTGTCAACTTCACTCCTAATTCAAATTTAGCCAATTTCTAGAATTTCAGTGGTGGTGTCATGGGGAACACCAAGCTACCAGCTCAGTAAATAATACTGGGCTTATTTGATAATACTGGGCTTCTGAGAGGTCACCTCTATTCTCCTTTGCTAAATGAATTCTAGGTCTCTGATTTTACTTAATTTTTAAAAAATATATTTTATTCATTTTTTTACAGAGAGGAAGAGAGAGGGATAGAGAGTTAGAAACATCGATGAGAGAGAATCATCGATCAGCTGCCTCTTGCACACCCCTTACTCAGGATGTGCCTGCAACCAAGGTACATGCCCTTGACCAGAATCGAACCAGGGACCCTTCAGTCCACAGACTGATGCTCTATCCACTGAGCCAAATGGGTTTTGGCTGATTTTATTTAAATTTTATCAGATGAAGATAGATATAGAGACAGTAAAGCAACAAGCAGACTGTCAAATTACAGTGGGGAGGGTAGGGAGATCTGGAGCTGATAATAGATCAACCGAAGGACTTGTATACATGCGTATCAGTACAACCAATGGACACAAAACTCTGGGGAGGGAGGGTATGAATGGAAGGGGGAGAATGGTAAGATATGTACACAGATAATAATTTAATAAAAAATAAAAATAAAAAATAAAATAAAACTACAAAAAAAAATTTATCAGATGGTGTTCCCAGAGAGAAAGGTAATTAAATTAGCATGTCCTTCCAATTAGCACACTGTCAGCTCCAATATTCAACTAGGTGATGCCAATCTATTTTAGTCAGGTTCTGCTCTCTTACAAAAAATCTGGTCCTGTCCTTATTTGCACAAAATCAAAGCTCTTTCCCCACTCTAAGAAATTGCCTGCTTTCCTGAGTTTCAACCTCTACATCACAGGATGGTAAAGCCAGTGAATAGGGAAATGATAGCAAAGAAAAGTCCTTTTTAACATATTTCAGTTTCACTCTTGAGGGCAGAGGCCTTGCTTTGGTTATGTCAACCAGTCCAGCACGCAGCACCTGGTGGCACATCCTGTGTATGTTTCCACGTGACAAGCATGAGGAAGGCATGGGGTGAGACTGGCAGCTTTTGGTCCAGTCTTCTCGCTCTTAGGCTTTCTCTGTTCTAGTAATTACATGTTTATATCCAAAAAAAATCTAGTGTCTGAGCTCAAAGTTTCTATTCTGTCACCTTGAGTCATTTTTTGAAAGAAAAAATGAATTTAAAAAGAAAAAGAAAACGCAGCTGACCCCAGCAATTCGAAGGTGATGCAGAGGTGGTTGCGGAAGTAGAAAAAGTCCTTCATGTGCACCACATTGTAGGTGTTGTCCTTGTCCTTCCTTCTAAGAGTTTCCAGGATCTTCAGCTCCACCAGGGCCTGGTGGTGAAATCTGAAGTGATTGGGGAGGGGCAGGGAGAATGAGAAATGGAGACAGGAGACATGGTGTCAAATCGTGCTGCAGCAGTAGCCCATTTCCTCATTCCTCAGCTCCTTCCCTTTACCCTGGCAAGGCAGAAAGCACTAAACTCTCCATACCTTGCATTCCCCTTCACCCCACCATGAAATCAGATAGGTAAAAAAGAGGAAAAGATCAGAGGAAGGGGTAGAGTTGGGAAGGGTTAGCATTATGGAGGGTCCAGAATCATGCAGTCCCTCCTCTATAGCCTATACTACTATCCACCCCACCTCTTCTTGTTCCTGATGATTTTCAAGGCCACCAACTCATTGTTTTTGTGATCCAAGCACTTGGCCACCTGTCCAAATGACCCTTTCCCAATCATCTCCAGAACCTCGTAGCGGTAGGCAATGTGGTCATGCAGGACCTACAGAAGCCAGGCAAAGGGTGAGGAGCAGAGCCATAGACTCTGAGGTTCCCTGACACTAAGGCCCCTGGACACCCATTGTCAGCTCATGGATGACTCCTGGGGGGATCTTTCAGAACTGCATTGGGCACTAGTGCAACTCCCACCCTCGTCTTATTGCTCCTGCAATGGTTAGTTTATTGTCTTGATCCCAGGCTACCCATGTGATACCAGGAGAAGTCCCACAGGCTCTATCCATGTCAGGTGATGCAAAGAACATTGGGTGTTCTCTGGGGAAGAGCAGCTTCTGTTTGGAGGAAGTTCTGTTTATGACCCCTGATGTGACTCCATCAATGAGAAAAGGCTTTGTGTTTGTTCTGTGTCTTTCTGACCAGACCTGGTTCTCTTGACTTATCCAGATTTAATTCTACCTTGGACTTAGCAAGTTACCGAGTTACACAACTTGAACCTTTCTTAACTAAGAAGAGAAATAATTTCCAAGAGCCAGAATCATCCATGTTCCTTCATGTGCTGAAAACTACGAAGCAACTGTTTAGTCAAAGCAACAGAAAATTATACATTAAAAAAAAAAAAAAACTTTCTGAGGGGCTTCAAACAAGCCACATATCCACTCTAAGCTGAGTGCTATAATTTGAAACAAGGTTGTAGATAAGATATCTCTAACACCTTCCAGCTCTGAGAATCTGTGATTCCTAGAATTACTCATGAATTGGGGAGAGATGAAGGAAAAGTGTTCATGTACAAGTCTCAGAATGTATTTGTGATTGTGTAGTGGGGATCTGTTCTCATAGGAGGAATTAAAACCATGCACATGTACAACTTCAGTGATATGTGGAAATAAATTGTTCTACTTGTAAAGGTTTTGCACATGTTGATGTAAAGATATATGTGGTTCCCTGGCATTCGTACATATCTTCTACATGCCACCAGTTTGGAGGTATCGTAAGTATACACTTCACATTTGGACATTGATTGAGGCAAAGTACAAGGCCATACTCATTTTTTTTATAGTTTCCTTAATATTTCCAGAGTCTAGCAGCTGTCCAAGTATATGATAGGTTCTAAATAAATAATGATTCAATTAATATTTGCTGTGGAATAAATGTGAGAATGAGGCTATGTTGCTTGTTTGGAAATTTGCTATGTACATTGTATATTTATGCATACACTAGAATGCAAAAAAGATGGAGATTCCAAGCACACAGAAAGCACATATATCACTCTTCCCCGACCAAAGCATAGCTCTCTAAGACTTGAGATTGAGGAATTGAATTCCAGTGAATTAACTTAAAAGTAGTGCTGAAATCCCTGGGAAATTTCCCAGAGACTGTAGGCCCAAGTGAGGGGGAAAGGAAAGAAGAGGGAAGGGAGAATGTGAGGAAGTCTATCTGAAATGGTGGTAAAATTTATATTAAAGATTCTTAATCAAGGACCCATTAACTATCCCTCCACCCCACTGAAATTTTGTGTCTGTGCAGAGTGCCTTTTCTGATGTAAGGATTTATAGCTTTTATCAGATTCCCAAAGGGATTCTTGACCTAAAAGTGTTGAGAACTAGGGCTCTAGATAGAGGATGTGTGCCAGAAACTCTAAATCCTTGCTTCTCAAAGTATGGTCTGAAGATCAGAAGCATTGGCATCATCTGGAAGCTTTTTAGAAAGGCAAAAATCTCAGGTCCCACCCCAGACCTGGAGGATAAGAATTCAAAATTTTAATAAGATCCTCAGGTGATTTGTGTGCATAGTAAAGCTAAAATAAAGACAACCCTAAATGCTATTAAAACAATTTGTCTCTTCTGTGAAGTCATCAAAGACCAATCCTGTCTCCTAAACCTAATCACGTTATGAAGTGTCCAGAAGAGGAAATTCCACTAGCCCACCATCCTAGTGGAACAAGCATTACTTATTTGGACATCCTCAGAAGTGGAAATTTCTTCCTGAAGCAATAGGGATACCTTCCACTGCCCAGATTTCACCTGAGGCTGCAGAGATGCCCCATCCTGGAAAGCTGCAGAGATACAGAAAGAAAACTGAAGGAAGTCAATCACCAGGGATTCTATGCACCAGGGCCTATAGTGGCAAAAGGGTGTTTTTCCCCCCCTTTATTTTTATTTTTTGTCTGGTGAGAAATTACATCTATACCAATACAAACATGTAAATTGACCATCACTTCACGACACCCACCAGCCAATCAGGAGTATGCATACTAAAGAGTATGCATAACCTGACAAAGATGGTGGTGCCCCTACCCCCCAGCCGCTCCGGGCCTCTGGGCAGCACTCATGCAGGCAAGAGTGGTCGAGGAGAGTGGGGGTGGGGGAAGGCGAGAGGGAGGCAGAGGGAACTATAGGAGCGGTGCTCTGGCTGGAGCAAAGACTGAAGGCTCGGCCGGCCAGAGTGAAGACAGAAGGTGGCGACCAGAGTGAAGGCCTGGGTCCCGAGTGCCAAAGGAAAACCAGTGCAAGCAGCCAGAGGGAAAAAGGCCTATTGCATGAATCTTCGTGCAACAGGCCTCTAGTTTATTATAAAATAGGAAAAAGGTCCATGTATGGGCTGGTGTGGGGACAAAAAAGGAAATGTTGGGGAGACTGCATCTTATTCCATAGTCAGTATTTTACAAGCGGGTCCAGGGCTATGCAGAAGAGCCTGTGGGAGTTCACTCAGAAAACTGTTACCCCAAATACTCTTAGAAAAAATTATATTCTGTTACTAGAGTAGTTTGTGTATTAATTGCATGTTTTCCCATTTATAAAAATGGCATTTCTTTGGTTTGGCACCTACTAGAATACTTCAGGATGCCTAGTCCCAGATACATCCACACCAAAGGCTATAAAATACCCCACTTTTTTCCTTTCTAGGCCTTTTTGTTCCCAAGCCCCAAACCCCCGCAGTTTCTATTACCTACTCTCCCATCACCTTCATATAGGAGCCATGTTCATCATCAAAGCTCATCTTGCTGAATTTCTCAGGAGCCACTTGGAGCTTCTTGGCTTTGAGCCCCAGGAACCACAGCTCTGTGTAGCCCAGGATTTCACTTTGCTCATAAGAAGACAGTTGATTCCTAAAACACCTTAGGGCCTCTGTGTGAAAAACACTGTGGTTGTCAGTTCAGGTAAGGCACCTTGGGACCTGCCCAAGGTGGAGACGATGGCAGCCCTTCCAGTCTGTGAGCCAGTCAGCCCTTCCGGCACCCAGGTAGCTTACTAAGGAGTATGCATCTTGGGTCTCATAGGGTTGAACTGTAACATGGATTCATGTCACGGGGTACTGATTTCAACAACCCAGGAGAAAAACACAAAGGAAGCGAAAGGGAGAATTCAGCCCAAGTTAATTTGGTATTGGGTTGCACAAATATTTTACCATGAGAGGGTCTAAAAGCTACGATGTCTTCAGGGGCCAAGCAGGTAACATAAATATGACTTTCAAAGCCCAGGAGGTATTTCCAGCTGAGCCAGGGAGTCCCTCAGACTATAAGGGAGAAATAAAGCCCTTCTCTACTCTATACTGGCCCAATCACATCAGACTCCTGTGTTTGGTCTGGGGGTGGGTGGGGTGGGATTCAAACTTTGAGATGTAGATAAACTGGAGAGTGCTGAGAGAAGGGAAACCAGGATGGGGGAGAAGAAAGGGCACGGTGTTATTTAACAAACTGCTGAGGAGTTGGAGAAGGAATTATTGGAGGAAATAAAAAAAGACTTATAGGGGACAAGACCTGTGTGTGTCTCCATATATACACTATAAGCTGACTAAGGCACGTTCCTGCCCCAGAAGAACTGAGACCTGAAAGAGCAGGGGGACCCTTAGCAGCTCTTCAAAGGCAGAACTAGCTCAGAACTAGAATATCTCCTAGGGGGCATTTTCTGGGCTGTTTTAGAAGTAGCAGCACAACCAATTTCAATGAAGTGGGAGAATAGCTCTGAGCATCAGTGTTGGGACATGGTAGATGCTCAGTGGATTTGGGTTTACTTCCTTTGAACCTTAATAGGTTATGAATCTCTGAACCTTGTGAGGAGTCAGCTCCTGGCCAAAAACTGATGTGTAATCTTTCAGGCCTGACCATAGGCAATTATGAATACTTTACCTGGCCGATGCCATGGGGAAGCTGCCCTCCCCACACCAGCCTTGGTGCACAGCCAATGCATTGAAATCTGTGAAGAGTTTAAGTCAAGGACTCAGGGTCCCTTGCTGGCCATGCACTTTATACATACCTAATCCAGGAGCCTCCATTCAGAGGCCTCTGCAGGTATTTCTGCCAAGATCTCTTTATCAAGCAGATGGGGCAAACTTCAAGACATTTTCCCCACTCTGACTCAGTACTCCGTACTTTTCCGCTCCTAGAACTCCTCTTTCCCCTCTCCTCTATAAAAGGACAGGAGCTGGGTCAGGCTCTCCAGGCTGTGTGAGCTAGTGCCTCTGACTGTGGTGATAACTGTAACCCTAACCTGGAGCCAGTCCATGGGTGGGAAGAGGGAGGAAGAGGAGAAACAGAGGAGGTCAGTGTTTTCTCCTAGTGAGCATCCTGCTTACAAAAGGCTTGGCTGGCCGAAACTGATTTGGCTCAGTGGTAGAGCGTCAGTCTGCGGACTGAAAGGTCCCAGGTTCAATTCCGGTCAAGGGCATGTACATTGGTTGCAGGCACGTCCCCGGTAGGGGGTGTGCAAGAGGCAGCTGGTTGATGTTTCTCTCTCATCGACGTTTCTAGCTCTCTCCTCCTCTCTGTAAAAAATCAATAAAATATATTTAAAAAAAAAAAAAAAAAAGGCTTGACTGTTACTTTCATTTTGGCTTGTTGCCTTAATTGAGTAATCCAATACCTAGAAGCTTCTTCAGCTCAGCTTAGCACTTCAAACCTGACCATGGATAACCACCCCCCATACCCTGCTATTGCCCTGAAGGCATACCTGCTGCTGTCAGAGGCACCTTGTGCTTCCTTTGTGGCTTCTCATTGGACTTGGAATCTTGGGAGTTGGTGCTTGAAAGGGAAGACATTTCTGAAGCCCTGTCTTCAGAGGCCAGAATCTGATTCTGATTTTGATTCTCCTGTTCATGGAAAGAACTTGTGATAAAGAACTCCTTAGGCTTCTCTTGGTTGTCCTAAAATATTCACCTGACCAAGAACACCTATATTCAGACAGGCTCTCCTCCTTCCTCTCCAAGGAGAATTGGTAAGGATGAGACAATATGTTTTCTTAGTCTTTCCCTTAAAGAGAGTATCTGTCTGGCTCATCTTTGTAAGATCCATGTACATTGTGCAGTTAACAGTATGCACCTAATACCTCCAGTGACCTCCCTGTAGGAGGATATTTATGGAACAATATTTTACTGCTGCTCTTGAGAAGGTCAGTTCCTAACTAGATAAAGTGACTTGTCCAAGGACACAAACACTTATGCTTATGTGTATATAACACCCTTTAACTTGGCACTTTCTTACATTATCTCATTTGGCCCTATTTCAAAAAAGGGAGGAAATAATGGAGACAAAAAAAATTTTTTTTGTACACCAGACACTTCATTTTCCCTTTCCTCAGTGAATCCTCATAATCCTGGAAGAGCTCATTTTGTAGATTAAAAAAAAAAAAAAAAAAAGTCAATGACTTAACAGTATTTGCTGAAAAATTACATTCATTGTAAAAAGTGCAAACAGGACTAAAACCGAACTCCTTGGCTGACTTGGGCTTTTCCCACCTTCCTGGGCCTTTCTAAACGTTGGTTTTGGACTGAAATCAAGTCTTCACCTCCTGCTCAGATCATGTCCATTTGCCCAGCACTCACCGTATACAGCAGAGGTGGCTTCAGCAGGATGTTGTTGCTGATGTGTGGGAAGTTAACCATGTTGTTCTTCCCCTTGGTATCCACCAAAGGGAGTGAAGTAATGTTGGTGTTTGTATCCTATAGAAGGAGAAAGTGGAAAAGTTGCAGAAGCCTCAGGCAAGAAAAGGTCTCTGGGAGTCATTTCTCCCAACATCCTCCCCACAGCAAGGATGAGCCTGAACCAAATCTAGGCCTTAATTAATTAATTAATTTTATTTTATCTTTATTGTTTAAAATATTAAATATGTCCCTTTTATTTACCCCTTGAACCCCCTCCACCTGTGCCTGCCACCCCCAGGCTTACTGCACTATTGTCTGTATCCATGGATAATGCATTTAAGTTCTTTGGCTAATCTCTTTCCATCCCCTTCCTTCTCTCTGAGATTCATTTTTAAAGTTCTTGGAGAGAAAATCAGAGTGATCAAGCAGATGGCCTCTGGATTTGAATCCCTGTAAACAGTTAACACTCTAAGCTGCAATTATCTCATCACTACCATGGGGACAACAATGGGACCTACCTCATACTTTCTGTGAGGTAAATAAGGCAATCTATACAGAATAGTCCATAAGTGATAGCCATTACTATCATCACTGTAATATCTTACAACCTCAACATGGGAAAGTTCTTCTTGAAAATTTTTCTTGGTACAACATAGTTCCCACTTACTCTACATTATTGACTTGACCTACTCACTTGGATTCCTCCCTCACCTTGCACTGACTGATTAGGAAAGCGGTAGCTTGACTATGAATAAATAGAACAATTAACATCATGTGGAGATGGGGCATGGTGGTGTGGATAGAATGTGCTCATCGTGTTATGCTGAGTTGAACAAAAATGCCTGTTACAAAGTACCCTGCTGTGCCACCTGCCCTCATCCTCTCCTAGAGAAAAGACACTAAGCATCACTTCCTACCTTATGCAATAATCGGGCCATTCTCAGGTTCGTGAAGATATCTTCTCACATGAACACAATGGTTACACTCAATTTGGATCAAGTGGAAGAGAATTGGAATAATGCTTCACGTGGTTTCATCTCAAGCCACTGAGACATTTCTTTTGCTTCATTGCAGTAAACAAGATACTCTTAAAGCCAGCTATCCTGACCCCAAAACTAGGAAGGGCTAAGAGAGACTCAAAGAAGTGCTGAATGAATGTCTAAAAGACTGAGTGAGTGGATACTCAGACAAATGTTCTTTCTAGCAGTATTTATCCTGGATTAATCTGTCCTATGATTTGCACACATTTTTAAAAAGTCCACATAACCTTTTTATCAAATAAAATTGTAACTAGAAAGAACCCCAGGACACGGGAAAAGATAAAAAAAAAAAAAAAAAGCTTTTCTTGCTAATGAGGAGAAAATGCCCATAGTCTTGCCCAGGAATACTTTTACCCTCAGAGTGGCTTTGAAGGGAACCCACTTGAGTATTAGGCACCCAGCCAGAGCACCAGTGACCTTATCAGAAGAGATTTCATATCTAAAAAGAGGTGGAGAGGGAAGATGAAAACAACAGAGCAGTGTGTCCGAAAGGGTGACAAGCACACAATGAGGCATGTGGCATAATTGTGAATGGTATACAGATAACAGCTATCTATGAGTTAATCCTTATTTTAATATTTATTTGAAAAATTATAACTAACACATTAAACCTGTAATATTGTGGTTATTATTTAAAATAAGACTAAAATTTAAGTTAAAAAATAACAACGTGAGTACTATATACATATGGCAAAAATTATGAAGGTAGCACTGAGAAATAACTAAAGTTTAGCAAAAATAGCCTACAGTTTGAATCTAGGTCCTGTTCTTTGAAGTAGAACCCAGGGATCTCTTAGGAATTGAATGACATTTATCCAAAGCTGAGGCACATCTGGTACCAGACTCACACCTATAAAACTTAGTACACTGGCTGCATTGAAATAGGCACAGGGTACAATACTTCAACGTAATAGCACCTATCATAGCTAAGCCCTCCACCGAGCTGTAATGGTGTTGACTATTTAATACAGTCTATCTCAATCTTCTGGAATAGAGTTATGATAGGAGAGAGGACTGCATAGAGCATGGGTCATGGTCTCAGACCAAATTCATTTGATTAGCTAATGTATACTATACACAGATTGATGTTATCTATTGGATAACATCAATGATGTTATTGTCTATTAGATGGACAATGATGCTATCTGAGCAAATACTACAATGGCAAATCTTAGTCCCAACTTCTCATCAAGTTTGTGGGGTTTAAGACATATAATTATCAATACTGACAAGCTGGCATTGAGAATGATTGGGAAGACTGGACAGATAAATGAAAGAATGCATTAACAAGACACAATCCAGACTAAATGGCAAATGAATAGCTTGGCAACGAGTGTCAACAAAGAAGGAAGAGATCACTCTGAATACAGTCTGCCCAAGAGAATATAGGGAGGCTCTTTGGAAGGGATGTGGCTTGTTCTGGGCTGTACTTGGGAGGAAGGGCAGACAGCATGTTTATTAGGTGAAACAACAATATCTGGGCACACTCCAGGGTCTTCACTGCTCATGCAGTTGACCTGGAGGACAGTGTACACTGGATAGTGGGAGGCACTAAATGCTAAACTAAGACACGGTCTTTATCCTATGGACAACAGTGAACCACTGTGCCAGTTTGCCAGGCTGGGAGTGATATATGCAAAGCAGCGTTTCAGAAAGATCCCTCTGGCAGCAATGGGACATAAAATAATGCTCATCAATACGGACTCTGAAGCAGACTCTGGTTTTGAATCCCAGCCTCACTGCTCATTAGCTGTTTGGCCTTCAGCAAGTTATTAATCTCTCCTAATGTAATATGGGGATGATAATAGTACCAACCCCTTAGGGCTGTTGTGAAAATTAATTGAATTTATACATGTAAAGCACTTAAACCAGTGTCATGTATATGCTAAGGGTAAGTGTTTACTAGAGCTCATTTTCCTCATTTGTAAAATAGAGAAAGAGAGATCTTTTCTTATTTCTTGTGAAACAGGAAAACCCTGGACTAAAAGTGATGCAGATGCACAGATCTTGTGGGGCCTGAAATTATTAAAGGATGATTAATCTGAAAAAGAAAAAGAAAAAGAAAAAGAAAAAGAAAAAGAAAAAGAAAAAGAAAAAGAAAAAATCCCCTCCCATATGCTGTTCTCAAAGGCTATTGCATTTTCAAAGAGAATTTGCCAAAATTTATTTGTTCCAAATAAATAAATCTCTACTCAAAGAAGACTTCTTAGCACTGGGAGCTGGTGAAAGGGATGGTTATTTTAGGGAAGGAAGGTTCTGCAAACCCTCTCAGGCAGGAGCCCATTCCCATGAATCATTGACTTATCACTTCTACATCAGAATGGAGGAATGAGGTGCACAGAAAGGTGAAATTTCCAGTCCTATGCCTACATCAGTGTCCTCTCCCTGGTGCCACTCCACTTCCCCTCCCCTGTTTTGCCTTCTCATCATGCCAAGCCCCCACCCCCAACACGCACAGTTTACCCACTAGTCACAGGGGAGTACATTTCCTGCTGAGAGCTAAATAATATTATGGCTGCTCCCTTTGTAGGGCTAGTTAGAGCAGAACCCAGAGTCACATGGTCTCATCTTATTACCTTGGGTGGAACCCTGGATGTCCTCATCTGTAAAGTTCAGGAGAGGAAGCAACTGGCTCTCAATAAGCATTAGAGCCACCTAGTCCCCTGCCCAGAAGCCACCCAGCCTTTTCAGAAAGGCACACTTCCATCAAACTACTCTGCCTCAATCACACCTGTTTTTTAATTTTTCTCAGCTGGCTCCTTCTTGTCTCTGCCTCCTCCCCATAAAAAAATTAAAATTAAAAATAAAAATTTAAAAAAAATCCCCAAATGCCTGGTCAAGGTTGGGTGGGCAGATAAAGTTCAAGTTATGTGGTTTCAAATCACAGCTTCCTCCTTGCAAGCTCCATAATACTTTCTCAGAAGCCAAAACAGCCAACAGAGGAGGAGAATCCAAGATGGCTGCTCGGGTAGGCACCTAGCCGCGCCGCACACAACAATTTCAACAAAATACAACTAAAATATAAAATGGACATCACCCAGAACTACAGGAAAGTTGACTGACTGGAAATTCTACAACGAGAAGCAAGGAGAAACCCAGAAGGAAGCGCGGAGGAGCTGGAAAAGCCTAAGGTACGGAGACACGCGGCGCGCGGAGAGGACGGAGCCGGAGTGCCTGGCAGGCGTTCCCTGGCGGGAAGGAGATAAACGCTCCGACTGTGCTGGCCCCCATTCTGACTGCTCTGAACCCCAGGCCTAGGCCAGACCCCGGGGACCCAGGCTCACACAGAGGGAGCCGGGCTGAAAGGCTGAATCCTGGGGAAGAGGCGAAAGGAGGTCCCGGCGGCGCTGCGCAGAGAAGGGACGGTTGGCTGTGCCGCGGGATTGCCTGGCGGGAAGGAGACAGGGGCTCCAGACTGCTCTGAACGCCACCGCCAACTCCACTTCCAACTGAACTGAACCCCAGTTTCGGGACCATTGGGGGAGAGACTAGACTGTTTGGTAGCAGGCAGAAATCGAGGGCGCCTTTCTCTCAGAGGCGCTTACAACAAGTACTGAAGGACCCTGAGTCTCAGGAGTCGCATAGGGAGGGGCTGACGAAAGCCAAAGCTGTAGGCTCCACCCTGAAACCCCGCCCCATCAGGAAAGCTGCCTGCGAAAATGCCTAAACCAAATAGATCACAAACGAAAGAAATGGAGGACAAAAAGCGACTGGATATAGAGTTCAAAACCACACTTATAAGGTTTTTCAAGAGTTTCCTAGAAAAGGCTGATAAAATAAATGAGACTTATGAGGATATGAAAAGGGATCAACAAGAAATAAAGAATACATTGTCTGAAATAAAAACTATTATACAGAGTCCTAAAAACAGAATAGAAGATCGCAAGAATCAAGTCAAAGATTTGGAACATAAAGAGCCAGAAGATACTCCTCCACAGAAGCTAGAAGGCAAGAGAATCCAGAAAATTGAGAATCAAGTAAAAAATTTGGAACATAAAGAGCCAGAAGATACTCCTCTGCAGTCGCTAGAAGGCAAGA